GATGTGGGAACTGGTTGAGCCTCTCATCAGGCTCGAATTCTGTGCAACTGGGAGTCACCCTGCTCCGGAAACGATGCGTTTTCGGGCAATCGGTGCATTGAGTCTGCTCACGCGGCAGCAATTGCTTGCCGGTATATCGTCTTACGGACGCAAAATGTCAAGCGAATGCGCAGGATTTGTCTTTCGGCGACAAAGCGTTCCGGCAATCACGGGACCAATCGGATCAACCGGCCGTCATCGCTGTCGGTCAGAACATAGAGAAATCCGTCAGGTGCCTGGCGAACATCCCGTATGCGTTCACCCAACTCGGCCAGAAGCTGTTCTTCAGAAACTATGCTGTCACCGTCCAGCCTGAGCCTGGAAAGATGTTGCCCGCGCAATGCACCAACCAGCAGGTCTCCCTGCCAGTCGGGATACAGGTCGCTTTTGACAAAAGCCATTCCGGAAGGAGCAATCGACGGATCCCAGTAGTAGACAGGTTGTTCCATGCCGTCCCGGGACGTTCCCTCGCCGATCTTGCCACCGGAATAGTGCCGTCCGTAGGAGATCACCGGCCAGCCGTAATTCTTGCCGGCCTCCGGAATATTGACTTCGTCACCGCCACGGGCACCGTGCTCAACCGTCCAGAGCTTTCCGGTGACGGGATTGATTGCCGCACTTTGCGGGTTCCGGTGTCCGATGGACCAGATTTCCGGTTTGTAACCCTCAAGGCCTTCGAACGGATTGCCAGGTGCGGGATCGCCGTTCGAAGTCAGTCGCAGCACAGAGCCGGTGTGTTCCGAAGGGTCCTGCGAACGCGAACCTTCTCCCCTGTCGCCCAGTGTCATGAACAGGGTCCCATCAGGAGCAAAGGCAAGGCGAGAACCGAAATGACGCCCGCCATAGGCGCGATTGTTGGCCCGGAAAATCGTCTCGCCGTCTTCAAGGCGGTGGTTTTCTCCATCTGCCGCCAGCTTTGCCCGATAGAGAGATGTCCCTGCTCCTTCGGGCGAACCTTGCGAGAAGGTCATGTAGATCGTGCGGTCGCTTTCAAATCCGGGACTGAGTACGACATCGAGCAGCCCACCCTGGCCTTGCGCGAAGACCTCGGGCGTTCCGGACACCACGCTCTGGTCGCCTTCGGCGGAAACGAATTTCAAAAGACCGTCGCGCTCGGTCACCAGGTAGCCGCCTTCAGGCAGAAACGCCACGCTCCACGGATAAGCAAGACCATCCGTGACTGTTTCGGGATCTACCGATGACTGGGCGGCGGCAGGCATCATCACTGCTGAACCGGCCAGAAGGACCAACGCTGCGGCTGAAGTCGTGCAAAAACTCAGGACGTTCATTCAGGGCTCCGAACAAGAGAGACTGCCAATCGGCATTTTCTCTTTAATTAGGTACTCCCGGCGATCCGAACAGCCACCATCGCATTAAAAACATTCAATCGGCGGTTTCGACGGACGCAATATCTGCATTTTCCAGACGTGTGGATATTGCCCGTTTCTCCCATGCCACATTCCAGTCGATCAGCGTACGCCAGACCAACTCGGCCTGCGCGGGTTCCAGACCAAGGCCTTCAGCGCGCAGACGGATTGCTGCAATCATTGTTTCGATACGCTCGCGATCGAATGCTTCATCGGGATGTTGCTTGATTTGCGACATGCGCCGGACGTAACCCTGCCGGCGCGCGAAGATCCGGATCAACTCCTCGTCCAATATGTCAATCGCAGTTCGGATATCCTGCTTGCTGACGCAGTTTTCGGGCGTTTTCACGGTCATGGTGCGACTTTGTTTTCAGGACGGGACGCGGGCCGGTTTAAAGGTCCGCATCGCAAAGGTGAATGCGCGAATTGAAGCAGCCGGTTTCTCCGACAGTTTCTGCGGGCCTAGTCTGCCAATCGGGTCTGTGCCTCAACGCTTGCCAATGCCGACATGTTGACCACACCGCGCGAGGTTACGGACGGTGTCAGGATATGTGCCGTTTTTGCCGCCCCCAGCAGGATCGGGCCGACATGCAGCGCCTGTGTCGCCACCTTCAGGAGGTTGTGGGCAATATTGGCCGAATCGAGGTTCGGGAAAAGCAGCAGATTGGCTTCGCCTTTCAGCCTGCTGCCCGGCATCACCTGCTCCCGCAACGTTTCGCTCAACGCAGAATCGCCGTGCATTTCCCCGTCTGCTTCCAGTTCCGGATGGCGTTCCCAGATGATGTCCAACGCCTCGCGCATCTTGCGCGATGATGCCGTTTCTCTCGAACCGAAGTTGGACATCGACAGAAGTGCGATCTTGGGTTCGATGCCGAAGCGGCGAATTTCCTGAGCGGCCAGGATGGCCATTTCCGAAATCTCTTCGGCGGTCGGATCTTCAGTGACGAATGTATCCGACATGAAAAGGGCCCCCTGGCTGTTGATAAGCAGGGACATGGCGGAAAGATCGCGGGCCGTTTCGCAAACGCCGATCACCTGCTTGATATCGCGCAGATGCCGGATGAAACGCCCCTCCAGGCCGCAGATGACCGCGTCCGCATCGCCCCGCCTCACGGCAAGGGCGGAAATGACAGTCGCGTTGGTTCGTACGACGGTCCGGGCGGCACTGGGCGGCAGACCCTTTCGGCCGACACACTCGAAATACTCATCCACATAGTCGCGGTAGCGCGGGTCGTCCTGCGGGTTGACGTATTCAAAATCAATATCGGGACGGATCTTCAGGCCGAAGCGCTCGCAGCGCTGCTGCAGAACATCGGGGCGGCCAACCAGGATCGGTTTGGCAATGTGGTCCTCGATCAGGACCTGTGCAGCACGCAACACGCGCTCGTCCTCGCCTTCCGCATAGATGATCCTTTGCGGCTCCTTCGACGCATTCTGGATGATCGGTTTCATGATCAGGCCGGAACGGAAGACAAAGCGGTTCAAACGGTCGTAGTAAGCATCAAAATCGGTGATCGGCCGCGTCGCGACACCGGATTCCATCGCGGCCTTGGCAACGGCCGGAGCGACACGCAGAATGAGGCGCTGGTCGAAGGGTGACGGGATCAGGTAGTTCGGGCCGAAAGTCTCGGTCTTGCCGCCATAGGCTCGCGCCACGACGTCGGAAGGCTCTTCCTGTGCAAGGCCCGCAATCGCTTCCACAGCCGCACGCTTCATGTGTTCGTTGATGGTTGTCGCTCCGACATCCAGAGCACCACGGAAGATGAAGGGAAAGCAAATGACGTTGTTGACCTGGTTCGGGTAATCGGACCGGCCGGTGCACATCACAACATCATCGCGCACAGCCAGGGCTTCTTCGGGCATGATTTCCGGATTGGGGTTGGCCAATGCCAGAATCAACGGTCCCTTGCCCATCTTCTCGACCATCTGCGGCTTGAGCACGCCGCCTACGGAAAGGCCAAGGAACACATCCGCACCGTCAATGACTTCTTCCAGTGTTCTCAGATCGGTCTTTTGCGCGAACACGGATTTCCACTCGTCCATGAGCTTTTCACGGCCCTCGTAGACGACACCTTCGATATCCGTGATCCAGATATTCTCACGCTTCGCGCCGAGGGAGACAAGCATGTTCAGGCAGGCAAGAGCCGCAGCCCCGGCGCCGGAAGCGACGATCTTGGCATCCTCGATTTTCTTGCCCGCAAGATGCAATCCGTTTCGGACGGCGGCTCCGACGATGATCGCGGTGCCGTGCTGGTCGTCGTGAAAGACAGGAATTTTCATCTTTTCCCGGAGCTTTGCCTCGACCATGAAGCATTCCGGTGCCTTGATGTCTTCCAGATTGATGCCACCGAAAGTCGGTTCCAACACCGAAACCGCATCGACGAACTTGTCGACGTCCAGTTCGTCCACTTCGATGTCGAAAACATCAATCCCTGCGAACTTCTTGAAAAGGACCGCCTTTCCCTCCATCACCGGCTTGGATGCGAGCGGACCAATATGGCCGAGCCCAAGAACAGCGGTGCCGTTGGAGATGACGGCCACAAGATTGGCACGCGACGTGTAGATAGCAGCCTTTGACGGGTCGTCGGCGATTGCAAGACAGGGCGCAGCAACACCGGGTGAATAGGCCAGTGCCAGGTCGCGCTGGTTTCCAAGCGGTTTTGTCGGCTGTATCTCCAGCTTACCGGGCTTCGGATTCTCGTGATAATAAAGCGCTGCTTCGGTCAGATCGTGCTCGGTCTTGTTGCTATCGCTCATGACGTTTCCTGTCTCCCTGACCTTCTCGGCTCTGTCGCTGTTTCTGGATGCAATCCGGCTGGTGCTGCACATTACAACTTTGACTGCAATTTCCTTAAATGTCTCTGCGGTTTATCTCGCGCGCTGTAAAATAAGAACCCGTATCAACAAAAACAGTACGACCCCGTTCAGGACATGCCACAGGAAATGCGTTCCAAACGCAAGATGCACGCACAGAGGTTCATCCATCGTGCGAAATGTGAGCGAGGCAAGGAACACCAGCCCTGTCAGCAATACCTGTAGACCAAGCTTCTGATTTTTAGGAACAAACAGTATTCCAACAACAAAAATCGCCAGGAGCGCAGGCACGTAACCGGCCGAAGACCCGACAAGCGGCGCAATTGCCTGTCCGGCGAACGGCGTTACTGCAAAAAACGCGATAACGATGCCGAGAGCTGCCCACCATTGCAGCTGCAAAAAACGATTGAGCGCGAGGAAAAGATAAAAATGGATGAAAATCGCGATCGGAATGACGTCGGCAAGCGATGCCCACCTTGTTGCAAAAGTGTGAAACAGGAACGACCCGATGCCTATTGCGGCAAGAACGACGATCAGGCCGAAGCCTGCCAGGTCGTTCGGTGTTTTTCTACGCCAGATCAGAAATGCGGCCAAAGCCGCAATCAGAAACGCGGCATTGGTCATGGCGTTCAATGGCTCAGACCAGAACTCAGGTCCGACGCGTTCGCAGTAGTTGTCCAGCTTCTCGTGAAGTTCCATGAGCCTCACTTCGGTTCGCAGTTCCGGTTAAACTGCTTGTGCCGACCTTCGCATTCAAGACCAAGTTTGTGACGGGTGATGTTACTGCCTGGACATGACAGTTTCGCTGATCAGGGCACCAAGCCTTGAAATTCCCTGTTCAATTTTGCCCGTGTCAGCGCAGGAAAAACTCAGTCTCAAGGTGTTGCCGCCGCTCCCGTCCGGATGAAAGGCCCTGCCGGGTACAAAGGCCACCTTTGCGGTCTCGACCGAACGCTCAAGCAAATCCGACGCATCAAGTTCCTCCGGCAACTCCACCCAGATGAACATGCCGCCTTCCGGCCGGGTCCAGCTCGTACCAGCGGGCATGTGTTTTTCCAGGGCCGCAAGCATTGCGTCGCGACGGTCCCTGTAAATCGCATTTGTGCGCGCGGTATGGCTCTCGAACTTCGTCTCGGCAACGCGCGCCATGGCTTCCTGGTTGAGAACCGGTGTGTTGAGATCACTCGCCTGTTTGATCAGAACCAGCCGGGAAATGACTTCGGACGCCGCACAGATCCAGCCGAGCCGCAGGCCGGGCGAAAGCGACTTTGAAAAACTGCCGCAATAAAGCGTCCGGCTGTTTTCAATGCCGCCGTTGCAATCGCAATCAAGCGCCAGCATCGCCCGTACCGGCTCGCCGTCATAGCGAAGGCTCTGATAGGGAGCATCTTCGATCACGGCGCAGGCGAGATCGCCAGCAAGCGACAGAATGCGCTTGCGCTCTTCCAGGTCAAGCGACAGGCCTGTCGGATTGGCAAAATCCGGCGAAAGATATGCGAATTTGACTGCGCCGCCCTTTTCTTCCGCTCTGGCAAGATAGTCACTCGCGTCCAGATTGGCGCGCGGCTCCAGCCGTTCAAAATGAAGCTCATACGCGTTGAACGCCTGGACCGCCCCGAGATAGGTCGGCCACTGAACAAGAGCAGTATCGTCTTCGGACAGGAACAGTTTGCCGATGTAGTCGAGGCCCTGCTGAGATCCGGACGTGATGAGAATATTCTCCAGATTGCAGGAAACACCAAGTTCTCCCATGTGCTCGACAATCCATTGGCGTAGCCTGATGCTGCCTTCGCTGATGCCGTATTGGAGTGCCCTTTCCGCCTCCGGACCGCCCAGGATGTCGGAATAGGCCTGCTTGAATTCCCTGGCCGGGAAAAGTGCCGGATCCGGAATGCCTCCTGCAAAGGAAATCACATCCGGCCGGTCCAGCAGCTTGAGGAGTTCGCGAATTTCCGAAGCGCGCATTCGCGTCGCCCGTCTGGCGTAGAGACTGTCCCAGGTTGTCATGATCGGCTCTCAAGCATGTTATCGATTATTTAAGTCAATAATACTGACCTAATTATTTTGCAAGTGTCCCATTCTTGTTATTTTTTGTAATTTTATTTCGCGTAGATGGGTCTGGCACGCGCAGTCCGGCAACCACTGGAAGATTGACTCAACTTCCCCTATGTCTCGAATAAAGGAGCCCCGCATGTCACGTATCGATGAGTCCCGTCCCTTTGTACCGCTCAACATCGCGGTTCTGACCGTTTCCGACACCCGAAAACCGGAAGAAGACCGATCCGGAAACACCCTTGCAGACCGGGCTGAAAAGGCAGGGCATGTGCTCGCCGACCGCAAGATCGTCACCGATGACGTTCCCGCCATCCAGGAGATTGCAAGGAAATGGATTGCCGACAAAGGCGTCGACGTCATCATATCGACCGGAGGCACGGGTTTTACCGGCAGAGATGTCACGCCGGAGGCGATGGAACCGCTGTTTGAAAAACGCATGGACGGGTTCTCGGAAGTTTTTCACCGTATTTCCTACGACAAGATCGGCACATCCACGATCCAGTCGCGAGCAACCGGCGGCGTTGCGGGCGCGACTTACATTTTCGTGCTTCCCGGTTCGCCCGGAGCCTGCAAGGATGCCTGGGACGGCATCCTGAAATGGCAACTCGACTATCGCCACATGCCCTGCAATTTCGTAGAAATCATGCCGCGACTCGATGAGCATCTCAAGCGCGGGAAGCTCCAGGAAGCGTGACGCGATGCCGTTCAGGATCCGAGAAACAACTGCTGCCGATGCGGCCGCCGTTTCAGCGCTGCTCGCGCAAAGTTATGCTGTTCTTCTGGCAGAGGCCTATGATGCAGAAACCCTTCGAAGGGCGCTGCCGCTCATAACCGATGCACAGCCGAACCTACTGACCTCGGGGACCTACTATGCAGCCGAGTTTCGCGATGGCCAGATTGTCGGCGCGGGAGGATGGACCAAGCACTCCCCGACTGGCAGGAACGAAACGGCTTCAAATGGCAATATCCGTCATTTTGGAACCGATCCCGATCACACGGGCAAGGGTATCGGACGTGCCTTGATGGAACGGTGTCTGGAAGAAGCTGCCGCAGCCGGACTGCAGGAACTGAATTGTTACTCGACACTGAACGGCGAAGCGTTTTACCAAGCCTGCGGCTTCAAAACCGTGGAACCGTTTCCGATCGACTTGCCGGGCGGCGTGATCTTTCCCGCCGTCCGCATGACCCGGACACTTTGACGAAATACAAAGACTGCGGGTGAATGGGAGTGCGAAATGGGATTGCTTGTAGACGGTGTCTGGGACAAGGACGCTACAGGTGACGGCGTTGCATCCGATCGATTTGAACGTTCTCGCGCCCAGATCAGAAACTGGGTTACACGCGATGGTTCGGCAGGACCGACGGGGCGCGGCGACTTCAAGGCTGAAAGCGGACGGTATCATCTTTACGTCGCCTGGAATTGTCCCTGGGCACACCGAACGCTGCTGATGCGGGCGCTCAAGGGGCTTCAGACCCACATTCCAATTTCGGTTCTCGCACCCAGACGGACGGATGAAGGCTGGGTTTTCAATCCGGAAGACGGGTATGTCGACACGCTCTTTGGCTCTTCCGCGCTGCACGAGATCTATTCCACAGGCACAGACAACTATACCGGCCGCGTCACGGTGCCGGTGCTCTGGGACACGAAGTCGGAGAAACTGGTCAGCAACGAATCTGCTGAAATCATCCGAATGTTCAATGGCGCCTTTCAGGACATTGCCGACAACCCGACCGATTATGTGCCGGCGGGCTTGCTCGAGGCTATCGACGGCTGGAACAGCTATATCTATCCGAAGCTCAACAATGGTGTTTACCGGACAGGCTTTGCGCGCTCGCAGTCAGCCTACGACGATGGTGTCCGGGATGTTTTCGAAGCGCTGGAGAGGATAGAAAAAACGCTCGAGACCAGCGCGTGGCTGACCGGGGACGTTTTGACGGAAGCGGATATCCGGCTGTTTCCGACATTGGCCCGTTTTGACGTTGCCTATTGGAGTGCGTTCAAGTGCAACCGCCACCGTCTTGTCGACTATCCGAACCTTTGGGCCTATGCACGACGCTTTTACGCTCTGCCGGGTGTCGCCGAAACGGTGAAACTCGAGATTTATCGGCGCGGCTATCATTCCAGAAGTGATGTGCGCAACCCGCACGGGATCGTGCCCCTGGGGCCGATTGTCGATTTTTCGGAGCCTGTTGAAATCTGCTAACCGTGCAATTTCACGGCAACGCTTGCGGGAATACGCAATGCGCCGACGCAGAAGCGCGCTAAGGCCTGGCGAAAACGGGTTGTCGAGCCATCACCTTCCGCCGCACCGGCTGTCACAGCGGCGGCCCTCAGCAATACGATCTGACTGCGGCCGATCCGTTTGGCAATATCGAGGTCCTCGAGTTCCGGCAGCGGCCGGTGTCCCCCGAGCGCCTGGTAGAACTGACGCGAAATCAGGAGGCCCTGGTTACCGTATGGCATTCCCAGCAATTGCGATCGCAGTGCAGCCAAGGACTCGCTGATGCGCGCGCTCATGCCGAAGCTTTCGTATCTGAGGCGAAAACTGGCGGCGGTCGTCAGCCCGTTTGGCGCCCTGCTTGCCCGGTCGATGAAAGCCTGGGCTTCATGATGCCAACCGCTTTCCAGCAGCGTTTCCGGCCACAGGAACAACAACCACTCGCCCCTCTTGGCCAGCCCGGCACCGTGAGACAGACACTCGCTGCGGGTTTTTCCGTTGCAATTCACCCAGCTGCAGCCAGCCGCATCGGCGACCTGCTCGGTCGCATCATTGGATCCGCCGTCCACAATAATGACTTCCCGGATCACGCCCTCGGCGGCCGCCGTCACCAGTGACGAAAGCGCGTGCACCAATTCTGTTTCCGAGTTTTTCGTTGCTACGACGACACTGATCATGGCCGTCTTTTACATGAAAAATTCGCAGGTGCGAAATAACCCGCTTGAATGATCGAGTTTTTGATTTAATGTTCCTGTTATGTTCTTTTTTTGCAGTGAAAATGTCCAATGAGTGCCGCACCGCAGTCCGATACCGCTGTCGACCCGGAAGAATACACAGACGCAATGTCAGCCCGGCTCAACGAGGATCGCCGGCGAGGTCGGGCAGCAGCTCTCAACAAGACCGGCCGCTTCGAACCACAGACGCGGGAGAGTTTCGATGACGGCTGGGACAGTCTTGAAGATCTGCCCCCACTAAAAACAGAGGTTCAGGATGAACGAGCGCGCACGATCATAACGCGCAACGATTCGCCGGACCTTTCCTTCGACCGCTCGATCAATCCCTACCGGGGCTGCGAACACGGCTGCATCTACTGTTTCGCCCGCCCGACCCATGCCTATATGGGCCTGTCTCCCGGACTGGATTTTGAAACCCGGCTGTTTGCAAAGCCCAACGCTGCAGCCCTTCTTGAACGTGAGCTTTCCAGACCGGGATACACGCCGCGTGTGATCGCGATCGGCACCAATACAGACCCCTATCAACCCCTGGAGAAGAGCTACGGACTGATGCGCGAGATCCTGGAAGTTCTGGACGCATGTTCGCATCCTGTCGCTATTGTCACCAAGTCCGCACTTGTCGCACGCGATATCGACATTCTCTCCAGGATGGCGGAGCGTAACCTGGTCAAGGTCGCGCTTTCGGTTACGACACTCGACAGGAAGTTGTGCCGGGGAATGGAACCTCGCACCTCTGCTCCCCACAAACGCCTTGGTGCAATTCGGGCCCTTTCGGATGCGGGTATTCCGGTCGCGGTGATGATGGCTCCGATCATCCCTGCCCTGACCGACAGCGAGATCGAAGGACTGCTTGAAGCCGCAGCCGAACATGGTGCGCGTGAAGCAAGCTTCATCCTGCTGCGTCTGCCGCTGGAGGTTTCGGAGCTTTTCCGCGACTGGCTGCTGCGCGAGCACCCCGATCGGTATCGGCACGTGATGAGCCTGGTCCGCTCCATGCGGGGGGGCAAGGATTACGATGCCAAGTGGGGTGAACGTATGCGCGGCCGCGGTCCGTATGCCGAGCAGATCGCCAAGCGCTTCTCGCTTGCTGCCAAAAGGCTCGGCCTCAACCTGCGCCGGAAAAAGCTGAACACGACAGATTTCGTTCAACCACAAAAAGGCGGTGTGCAACTCAACCTGTTTTAACGAACCTGCTTGCAGCACACGGGAAGCGGCGGCAGGGTCATATCATGACTTTCGGTCCTTCCCTCTTCGACCTGCCTTTCCCGGAAAGTCCGGACCTCTGGATAGAACAGCGGCACGCAGCCTCCTTTCACGGCGGGCTTTGCGGTGTCGACGAAGCCGGGCGCGGTCCCTGGGCAGGACCCGTCGTTACGGCTGCAGTCATCCTGGACTATGACAACGTTCCGGATGGCCTCGACGATTCCAAGAAGCTGACGGAAGCAAGACGCGAGGAACTGTTTGGGCAGATCGTCTCGACCGCCCGGGTCTGTACCGCAAGCGCGTCGCCGGCGACCATCGACCGTTTGAACATTCGTGCTGCGACACTTTCCGCCATGGTTCGGGCCGTCAATGGCCTCAGCCAAGTACCGGCTTACGTGCTGGTCGATGGACGCGACGTGCCGCGCGAGCTCAAACAGCAGGGACAGGCACTGGTGAAGGGCGACGGGCGCTGCCTGTGCATTGCAGCGGCCTCCATCGTCGCCAAGGTTACGCGAGACCGCATGATGGTGCGCCTCGAAGAACATGCCTCTGGCTACGGCTTTGCCCGGCACAAGGGCTATGGTGTTCCGCAACATCAGGAGGCGCTGGACCGCCTGGGCCCTTCGCCGCACCACAGAATGAGCTTCAAACCGGTGCGATTGGCCGCTGTGGAGAAGAACCGGGCTTCAAAAGTCCGCCATGAGTGAACCACCGGGATCAGACAGACGGAAAACACGGAAACACTCTGTTGCGTGACTGCGGCTCCGCGACACTTCCAGTTCCCCTCGTGCACTGAGTTCGGCCGAACTGAATCATTTCACCGTGACTGACAGGTTCCGCACTTGTCGCTTCGTTTCCGCACGCAATGACAAGCGTTCTGCGGCGATTGTTTTCATATATGCCCGGTAAACGGATTTCCGTCCGCTCGTGCAGATCAATTCTTTTTCCGGGGAGATCATCATGGCAACACTTGCCGATTCAGCACGAGCCATCGAGTTGGAAACAACCGCCTGAAGATCTTGATCCCGCACACGGCAATGGCACAGAAACAAAAAAGCGGCCCGGAGGCCGCTTTTCTGAATTCAGGCAATCAGAACCGTGATCAGTTCAAACGTTCTTTGACCTGATCGATGCTCTTGGCAAGAATATCGTCAGCGACCTTGTCCTTGACCTTGGAAGCCAGGATTTCCTCGGCGGCGGCAACCGCGACATCCGCTGCCTTTGCGCGGACTTCGGCAATTGCCTGTGTTTCCGCCTGGGCGATCTTGGTTTCCGCGGCCTTGGTACGGCGCGCGATCATCTCTTCCAGTGCCTGGTTGGTTTCTACCGTCAGACGCTCAGCTTCGGCGTTGGCTTCCGCGATGATCGCTTCTGCTTCGCCTTCCGCTTCATGGCGCTTGCGCTGGTATTCCGACAGGAGGGCCTGGGCTTCTTCACGCATCTTGCGTGCTTCTTCCAGTTCCTTGCGGATACCATCCGCGCGGTCGTCGAGCGAACCGCCTATCTTGCCCGGGACCTTGAGATAGATGATCAGGGCGAAGAAGAGGATGAGACCGATCAGGGCCCAAAATGTTGCATCCATGATGGTCTCCTCAGTTCAACGCCGACTTCAGCGCCTTGGTCAGGTCGGTCTTTGTCGGAGCCTTGCCTATCAGCTGCTCAACGAGCGCTGACGTGGTGTCTCCGGCAATTTCGCCGATCTGGGACAGTGCCTCGGTCTTGATACCGGCGATCTGCGTTTCAGCGGCCTGCAGCTTCTCGTTCAGCTCGGCTTCCGCCTTTTCGCGGCGAGCTTCGTGATCAGCCTTCAGCTTGGCACGCGTGTCGTGAGCAATGCTGTGTGCCTTGTTACGGGCCTCGGCCAGCGCCTGCTCGTATGCTGCGATCGCTGCATCGGTTTCGTCTTTCAGGCGGTTGGCCTCGGAAAGATCACCGGCGATCCGGTCCTTGCGGTCTTCAAGGATCCCAGCGATCCGCGGCATCGCCACGTTCTTCATGATCCAGTAGAAGACGCCGAAGGTGATGGCGAGCCACAGCAGCTGCGACGCAAACGTTGTCGCGTCGAACGGCGGGAAGCCCACGCCATGTTCTGCGGGCGGCACTTCTATGCCTTCAGTGGTCGATTGTGTTTCGCCTGCCATTTCCACTCTCCTAGATCCGGTCAGGCGGCGCCGTCAGGGCGCCGCCACCGGAGTCGCATCGAAATTCGCTGCTTGTGAGCGATTAAGCGAACAGGATGAGGAAGGCGATCAGAAGTGAGAAGATGCCCAGAGCTTCCGTCACGGCGAAGCCGAAGATCAGGCGGCCGAACTGGCCGTCGGCTGCGGACGGGTTGCGCAGAGCGCCTGCGAGGTAGTTACCGAAGATGGTGCCGAGGCCGATGCCTGCGCCGCCCATGCCGAGGCATGCGATACCCGCACCGATGTATTTTGCTGCTTCTGCTTCCATGACACGTGCTCCTAGATGTGTTTGCAGATTGCTCACTTACGACCCTGCCGGCCGTGTGATTGGATGACCCTTAGTGGGAAGGATGAATGGCGTCGTTCAGATACATGCAGGTCAGAACGGCGAAGACGTAGGCCTGCAGGAACGCGACCAGGAATTCGAGCGCCGTCAGGGCGACCGTCATCGCGAGCGGCAGAACCGCTCCGAAGATACCTACCGCACCCATCGCACCGAGACTGACGACAAAGCCGGAAAATACTTTCAAGGTGATGTGACCCGCCAGCATGTTGGCGAACAGACGTACGGACAGGCTGATCGGGCGGGACAGGAACGAGATAACCTCGATCATGGTCACAAGCGGGATCAGCGCAGCTGGCACACCGCTTGGTATGAACAGCTTGAGGAAACTCATTCCGTGCCGCATGAAGCCGTAGAAGATAACGGTCAGAATAACCAGCATCGCCAGTGCAAAGGTGACAATGATGTGGCTGGTGATCGTGAAGAAATACGGGAACATCCCGAACAGGTTTGCGACAAGCACGAACATGAAGAGAGAAAACACGAGCGGGAAGAATCGCATCCCGTCCGTCCCGGCCGCATCTCGAAGCGTGCCCGCAATGAATTCGTACATCATTTCCGAAACCGACTGCACCCGGCTCGGCACAAGGCCGCGACCGCTGGTCGAGAAGATCAGAAATGCGGAGGTTGCCGCCACGGTCAAGACCATGAACAGGGAAGAGTTGGTAAATGAGAAATCCATGCCTCCGACTTCAATCGGAAAGATCTTCTGGATCTGGAACTGTGAAATCGGATCGTTCGCCACCGGCCAGCCTTCTTCGCTCGTTCATTCTCACAGCGCCTCAAGGCGCTACAATTTCTAGTCCGATCCGTCTTTGCGAACGTCTTTGTCCCGGCGCAACCCCACTTGCGGCTGTTCGACCGCCCCGGCCGAACGCAACACATTCAGGACACCGGCCGCAAAACCCAGCAGCAGGAAAATAATGAGGCCGAATGGCGTCGTCCCCAGCCACTGGTCGGCAACCCAACCTATCCCGGCTCCTACCAGAACACCCGCGATGAATTCGGATGAGATCTTCATCGCCTGAGCATATCCGGAGGAGTTGCTTTCAGATTTGCGCGCGGCCTTTTCATCGACTGCGTGCTGATCTTCAAGCTTCCGGTTCAATTGAGCCCGCCGTTTCGACAGACCCGCTTGCGAAACATCGCCGTTTCGATCGTGATTTTCGCCGTCTTCCGAAGACATGTTCTTCTGTCCCCAGTGCGCCGACATGTCAGATCAAATAACAGGAATGCCCCGTAAGCCGCGCGCACCATAGTCGGCGCCTATGGCCGTGTCAAGGAGCCTTAAACAATAATTATCTTATTGAAATAATTAGCCTTTTTTCTTTCTCACAAAATTTACGAGACCTAAGTTGTACGCTGGCTTCGAAGTGACGCAGCCGCCAGGGGTTCCATCAGGCGGTTTCCCGGAATCGTTCCGCCGTCTCAAGGTCGACCGAAACAAGCTGCGAAACACCGCGCTCGGCCATGGTCACCCCGAAAAGCCGGTTCATGCGCGCCATGGTAATCGGATTGTGCGTGATCACGACAAACCGGGTTTCCGTGCTGGCGATCATCTCGTCCAGCAGGTCGCAGTAACGCTCGACATTGGCATCATCCAGCGGGGCGTCGACCTCGTCGAGAACACAGATCGGAGCAGGATTGGTCAAGAAAACCGCAAAGATCAGCGACATTGCGGTCAAGGCCTGTTCGCCGCCGGACAGCAGTGTCATCGTTTGCGGTTTCTTTCCCGGTGGCCTGGCAATGATCTCCAGCCCGGCATCGAGCGGGTCGTCTGAATCAACCAGCTGAAGTTCAGCAGTCCCGCCACCAAAAAGATGCGTGAACAGGCGCTGGAAATGGCCGTTGACGACTTCGAAGGATGCAAGAAGGCGTTCTCGGGCTTCTCGGTTGAGGTTTGAAATGCCGGTGCGAAGGCGCCGAATCGCTTCGATTAGATCGTCCCGTTCAGATGTCAGCGTGGTCTTCTGCTCGTCGATTTCCTTCAATTCTTCTTCGGCGCGCAGGTTAACCCCGCCAAGGCGCTCACGTTCCGCCTTGAGCCGCTCCAGCTTTCGTTCGGTGGCAGCCGGATCCGGTAGTGGTGCGCCCTCTTTCAGCCCGGCAATCTCGGGGAGTGCCGTAACGGGGACTTCCAGATCCTCGTCAATCCTGCGTTCCAGGTTGCCTTTGCGTTCCTTCGAGGCCTCGAAGCGTTCCTCCGCCCGGATCTTCTGCTCACGTGCCCCTGCCAAGGCCTCCATTGCCGCCCTGGCCGCACGATCGACTTCCGAGAGGTCCAGTTCTGCCTGCTGCAACTGGTCGTCGCGCGTCTTCTTTTCGTCCTCGGCCTTCGATATCGCTGAAAACAGTTGCCGTCGCTTGATCTCGATGTCTTCGGGTGCCTCGATCAGTTCGGCCCGCTCCTCTTCAGCCTCTTCCCGGCGTTCGGTCAGCACGGTGATCTGCCGCGCCGCGTTGGACGCCCTGGTTTTCCAGCTGTCATATTCGCGCGCGATCGCTTCCAGCCGCCGGTCGCGCATTTGCTGCTCGCGTGCAAGCCCCTCAGAGACGGCGCGCGCTTCGGCCAGGGCGCCGCGTGCCGCAGCGACCTCTTCCTGGAGGTCCGAGATCTGTTCCTGGTAGTTCGCGCTCTCGGGGGCATCGGCGAGACGCTCGTCCGCCTCGACAACCTGTTCGCGCGCAAGCTCCGCTTCTTCTGCAATGCGTTCTGACCGGTCTTGTGCAGCAGCCTTTTTCGCCGCCAACTGGGATATCGAACGTTCCGCAGTTACGAGTGCCTCGCGGGCGGCAGCCGCCTTGCGTTGTCCATCCCGCACCTTGCCGCGTGCGGACTGTTCCAGTTCAACACTCTGGCGCACGCGTGTCGCGGCGGTTTCCAGATCCTGCTGCCGGCCCTCAAGCTCACCTCGAGCGGTATCTATTTCATCGGCAAGTTCGGCAAGACGATTTTTCTGGGCCAGTCTTTGCGCCGCCGGTGTCGGTGCATTGGCGGCGACCAAAAAACCATCCCAGCGCCAGAGATCGCCATCTCTCGAGACCAGTCTTTGTCCCGGAAGGAGTTCAGCGCGACGGGCAGGCCCCTCGTGCTGGTCCACGATGCCGACCTGGCGCAATCGGCGCGCAAGTTCCGCCGGAGCCACGACTACGTCAGCCAGAGAACGGATACCGGAGGGCAAAACCGGATCTCTGTCTCCGGGCAGTGGGGTCCCCCATTTGACCGCGGCGGTTTCTTCGAGCGATGCATCCAGGTCTTCGCCAAGCGCGGCGCCCAGCGCGGTTTCAAATCCCTGTTCTACCTGAACCTGCTCAACGACCGGTGTAAAGTCCTGATCGGAGTGCACATTCAGAACCTGATCGAGGGTTCGGGCTTCCGTTTCCAGGCCCTGTAACGCCTGTTGCGCATCACTCAGCGGTCCTCTAGCAGACTGCTCCTGTTCCCGGGCCTCACGGGTTGCATGTTCCGCTTCTTCCGCAGCTGCCTCGGCCTCCAGAAGAGTTTCTTCGGCAAGTTCCAGCGCCTCGCGGTTTTCAGAAACACCATCGTTCTCCGCCAATTGACTATTCAGCGCGTCCAGAGCCTGTTGAGCTTCCTGTGCCTGGGCCACAAGGCGTTCGGCGCGCTGGCGTGTCTCTGCCACCGCGCGCTCCAATTGACGGCGCTCTGCACTGGCGCGGGCTTCCGCCGCTGTCAGATCCGACAGCCTGGTCTCGTTGGCACGAACAGTCTCCTCCGCCTCCGAAACGCTTTCGCGGGCAGAATCGGTGCGCTCCTGTACCATTTCGTTTTCTTCAAGCAGTTCCGCGCGCTCTTCAGACAGGCGTTCGAGAACCTCATCGTTTTCAGACACCATTGCCTGCTCACGCCTGATGTCTTCGGCAAGTTGAACCAGTCGCCGCTCCAGATCCTGCAACCGCTCCTTTACACGGCGCTCCTCGGCATCAAGTTCGTTGCGCGCAATGACAAGCCGTTGCAGGGCTGCCGCAGCCTTTACGGCTTCGTCTCTCAACTCCGGCAGCTTGTGTGCTGCGATCGCCTGAACGCGTGCGCTTTCCGCCTGAAGGGCGGTCGCCTCATTGACCTGCTTCTGCGCTTCGGCGAACTGGTTTTCGGCCACTGACAGGGCATTCCGGGATTCTGTCCAGCGGATAAAGAGGATGGAAGCTTCCGCCGCGCGGATTTCGGATGACAGGTTCCTGTAGCGCGAGGCTTGTCGCGACTGGCGCTTCAAGTTGTCGAGCTGGCCATCAATCTGAACCAGAACATCCTCCAGCCGTTCCAGATTTTGCTCGGCTGCGCGCAAACGGATCTCGGCCTCGTGCCGCCGGGAATGAAGGCCGGAAATTCCGGCAGCTTCCTCGAGGATCTGACGTCTGGATGTCGGCTTGGCGGCGATCAGCTCGCCGATCTGGCCTTGCCGCACCATCGCAGGCGAGCGTGCGCCTGTAGAAGCATCGGCAAACAGCAGCTGGACATCGCGCGCGCGCACATCCTTGGCGTTTATCTTGTAGTTGGATCCCTGCTCCCGCTCGATCCGGCGGCTCACCTCCAAGAGGTCCGCGTCATTGAACGCCGTTGGCGCCGTGCGGTCCGGATTGTCGAGAAAGAGCGTGACTTCCGCGGTGTTCCGTGCCGGACGGTTGAGACTGCCGGAGAAGATGACATCGTCCATGCCGGACGCGCGCATGTTCTTGTAGGAATTTTCGCCCATGACCCAGCGCAGGGCCTCGACGAGATTAGATTTTCCGCAACCATTGGGGCCGACGACACCGGTCAGCCCGTCGCCGATGATGAATTCCATCGGTTCGACAAAGGACTTGAAGCCCACGATTCGCAGTTTGGAAAATTTCATCGGCGCTCAAACCTCCGGGAGGCGAGCGCCGAACAAGGCAAAGTCAGGTTCAGGCAATCGTCATCGCCCGGCGAAAAATCCGCCGGATTAAAGGTTTTCCTCGATGATCTTGCCCATCTCGTCAATCGACATCGCCCCTGAGTGCTTGGCGCCGTTGATGAAGAATGTCGGCGTAGAGTTCACGCCGAACTCGTTCGCAGCACGATCTCTCACTGCATTAACTGCGTCGAGCAGACCCTGGTTTGTCAAGCATTCCTCGAAGGACTCCTGTGTAAATCCGATCTGTTTGGAAAAATCGAGCAGGGATTGGTACGGATTGTCGGTAAATGCCCAGGCGCGCTGGTTTTCAAACATTGTATCCACAATCTCGAAATAATTTTCAGCCGGTGCGCAGCGGGCCAGCATGAAGGCGGCAGCCGCAACGGGATCCAGCGGAAACTCACGGAAAACGAAGCGGACCTTGCCCGTGTCGATGTACTGTTCCTTGAGCGGCTTCCAGGTGCGTTCGTGGAAGTTTGCACAATGTCCACAGGTCATGGACGCATATTCGATAATCGTGACCGGTGCGGTTTCTTCACCCAGAACCTTGTCACCCAGCGGACCCGGTACGTTCAGCTTGTCCGGATCGACCGACTGCGCAAGCGCCGGAATGCTTGCTGCAACACTGAACGCTGCGGCCGTCAAAGCCGTGGTCTTGAGAAACTGTCTGCGGGTCTGGGTCACGAGGGTCGTCCTGTCACTGTTTCTACGCACTGCACGCAGTGGTGCAGATTCTGTTGCTTCATTTGCCCCTTCGGGCAGCCGGCGTCAACAACGCTTATCAAATGTGGCAGGATAGAGGACTCCTCAACTGTTTCTTTCACGATGATGTTATTGCGTTGTTATCGCTTGCGAACACCCCGGCATATGTAACTTGTCAAGCCGCCTCGTCCGTGCCTTTTGCGATCACCTGGGCACCGAGCTTTTTCAAAGCTTCCCGCAAACGGTCGTTCTCGACGCCTTCCAGGCTTTTGTCGAGCTTCTCCTCTTCCCGCTCCGTGAGAGACCGCAGAGGTTTAGGCTGCTCAGCCTGCTTAGTCCTCACCGGTTTCTGCAGGATCTTGATGCGGCCGATCGCCGCCCAGCCATAGAATGTGTTTATCCGCTCGATCACCTGGGCGCTGTCATGGGACAGCATCATGGCAGTGGCACCATCGGTATGAACCACCAGTGTCGCAGGCTGCGGCGGTTTTTCCGGATCGCTCAGTTCGGGCTGCCGCGGCCAGATCAGCTTGTCGGGCAGAACCCGGGTGCCATAGCGCTCTCCGACGATATCGGGCCAGGCGGTGACAATGTCGACAGAGGCAAATCCCCGCTTGCGGCACGCAGGCGTCATCGCCTTGCCGACGAGGTCGGCAAGCATTTTCGCCTCTTTCGGCTTGTGCTGCGTAATTGCCTTTGCCACGTTGATGACCTACTTCCTCATCCGGATCGCCAAATTGCACCGATTGAGCACGGTTCACGAAATATGATGTCGTGTCCCAATAGAATACGCCAAAAAGACGACGATTACTTTATGGACACCCACCAGGCAGTCAAATCTACCCAAGTTGTCCCCAGGCTATCCAAGATAGCATGCACAAATTCACCTGCGAGTACACGTTAATCCTCATGCGGTCTGCTTCCCTAAACCAATCGCTTCTGAAGTGGTACGACAGGCACGCCAGGCGATTGCCGTGGCGCGTTTCCCCGGAAGACAGGAAACTTGGCGAAATCCCCGACCCTTACCGGATCTGGCTATCCGAAGTGATGTTGCAGCAGACCACGGTCGCGGCGGTGAAGGACTACTTCGAAAAATTCACCAATGCCTGGCCGAGCGTTGAGGATCTTGCCGCCGCCGATGAAGAAGACGTCATGAAGGCCTGGGCAGGTCTGGGGTACTATTCACGCGCACGGAATTTGAAAAAATGCGCAGACACCGTTGCCCGGGATCACGGCGGCCGGTTTCCGGAAGCAGAAGACGCGTTGCTGAAGTTGCCCGGGATCGGTCCATATACGGCAGCCGCCATCGCGACAATCGCCTTCGACCGGCATGCGGCGGTTGTCGACGGCAATGTCGAGCGGGTGCTGACACGGCTGACACAGATTGAGACTCCATTGCCCGAGGCAAAGAGCCAAATCAAGGACGTGATGGCGACGCTCACGCCACACGACCGGCCAGGCGACTTTGCGCAGGCGGTGATGGACCTCGGAGCCACGATCTGCACGCCGAAGCGACCGGCGTGCGGTCTTTGCCCCTGGATGAGCGATTGCAAGGTTCAGAATTCCAGCTTGGCCGAAGCGCTGCCCAGAAAGGCACCAAAGAAAGAAAAGCCGACCCGGTATGGAGCTGCATTCGTTGCCGTCGACCGGGAGAGCGGAGCTATCCTTTTGCGCCGCCGGCCGCCAAAGGGGTTGCTGGGCGGCATGACGGAGGTTCCCGGCACGGACTGGTCGGAAGCGTTCGACGTTTCTGGCGCGCAGGAACATGTCCCCTTCCCGTCCGAGTGGCGAATATGCGCCGGCGTGGTGAAACACACGTTCACGCATTTTCATCTGCGGCTCACGGTCTTGCGGGCATACGCGCCGCAGGACATCCTTCGTATGGTCGAGGGGACATGGTGGTCTCCACCCGCTGCTCTCGACGAGGAAGCGCTGCCGACAGTGATGCGGAAAGTACTGTCGGCAGCGCTCGACTAAGTGGAGACTTCACGGCTTCACCGCGGCGAGATTGGTTCCCCCACGTCGATCCTGTTGCCATCGGGATCAGCAAAGACGAACGCGCGCAGGCCATAGTTCTTGTCCTGAAGCCGCTTGATGATGCGCAGTCCATGATCCTGGCACCTTTGATAGGTTTCGGTCGCGTCGGAGACAAGCATATGCGCCACGTTGAAGGTGGCCGCCTTGTGGTTTTTTTGAAGCGTGAGATGCAGCTCTGCTTCATCCTTCTGCAAGATCATGAAACCGACAGGGTCACCGTTTTCAAAAACCTTTTCGAATCCGAAGACCTCTTGGTAGACCTGATATGATCTTTCGATGTCACTGACAGGCAGCATTGCGGCGATGCGGCCGAGACGGAGCGAGTTGAATTGTTCGGAAGGCATGGCATCCCTCTGTTTCAAATGCGAGCTGCGCGTTTGCTCCGGACGGTGCCGGTCGTCAACGCCGTTCATCGCTGTTCAGGGCAGTGCCTTGGCGGATACTAACAATTCGCTTTCAGACGTCAAACCCCGGACCAAGCAACAAAGACTTCAAACATGAAATACGGTTCAAGAAGGGAGCGAAGACGGCGGTCTGGAGATCAATCTCGGCAACCGCGTTTTGAGTGCATGTTTTTATGGTCGCCGGCGCTTGTGCCGTGTTGCCGATACGGATGGCATGCGCCTCCGCATCTTGGTTGTCCTGGCCGAAATAAGCCTTGTCGAGGCGACAGACCAACAGGACAGTCAGAACCTCAACACAAGAACGACCGCCGTCACAGTCCAGTGGCCGGCCGGGAATTTATCCAGGACATCGGCGGCAACCTGACCCTTGTTGACTGTGAGGCCACCTGCGCCAGGTGCGGGCAGGAAATAAAGAAGCGTATAGCGTGCGCCGAGGTTCGGCATGGTGAACAGCATCAGACTTCTCCTTCAGCGGTTGATCACGATCAAATCATCCACCACGCGAAAGCAGTGCGGTTGGATCACTTGCCGGAGCGTATAAATCCGGGATCATTTTTTCCTCATCCGTTCCGAAATACCAAGCGTAGAACCGGCGACACAGGCACTCAAGTAACATCTTGATTTGACTTGGAAAAGGTCTTTTTCCAAGGCGTTAAACCTTTGCCTGTGACCTATTTTCGGGAGTTAGTCATGAAACTGATACAGAACCTCGTCTTTGCACTTCTTCTCGTCGTGCCGCTTTCCGTTGCAAAAGCCGGTGAAAAGGACATTGTTGACACGGCAGTCGGCGCCGGTTCGTTCAACACCCTCGTTGCTGCAGTCCAGGCCGCAGGATTGGTCGACACCCTGAAAGGTGAAGGCCCCTTCACCGTATTCGCGCCGACGGACGAAGCTTTCGCGGCGCTGCCGGAAGGTACAGTCGAGAACCTTTTGAAGCCAGAAAACAAGGACCAGCTTGTTGCGATCCTGACCTATCACGTCGTCCCGGGCAAAGTGATGTCTTCTGATATCGCAGGCAAGAAAGCTGAAGTTGCTTCTGTTCAGGGCGACAAGATCTCCGTGGACGCAACCGACGGTGTCAAGGTTGACGGTGCGAAGGTTGTGACAGCCGATATTGAGACTTCCAACGGTGTCATCCACGTGATCGACGCGGTCATCCTGCCGAAGTCCTGACATCTCAGACGGGTACACATCGGCCCCATCATGTACCCTCTGTCCGCGCGGCCTCCCAGGAGGCCGCGCTTTTATTGGTGGTAAGTTTGTCGGTAGCTCTCGATAGCGGTTGGCCGGCATTGTAAAATACACCGTTGGCTGGAAGAAAACGCATTGAAAAAAGTTCGTACTTTTGTGAACTAGCGCTGGACACACAATGTAGAATTATTCTAAAAAGACTTTCTAGAATAATTCTAAACTATCGCATTTTAGGCTCCAAGGAGAGGTTGCCATGAAGGGAAGTGAAAAAGTCATCGAGCGCCTGAACGAAGCACTGTTTCTGGAACTCGGCGCGATCAACCAGTACTGGCTGCACTACCGCCTTTTGAGCGACTGGGGTTTCACGCGCCTTGCGAAAAAAGAGCGCGAGGAATCGATCGAGGAAATGCAGCATGCGGACAAGCTGACCGACAGGATCATTTTCCTGGAAGGTCACCCGAACATGCAGAAGGTTGCACCACTGCGCATCGGCCAGAACGTCAAGGAAGTTCTGGAATCAGATCTTGCAGGCGAATACGACGCCCGCGCATCTTACAAGACGTCGCGCGACATCTGCCGCGATGAAGGTGACTATGTATCCATGGGCCTGTTCGAAGAGCTTCTGGCCGACGAGGAAGGGCACATCGATTTCCTCGAAACACAGCTGGAACTTCTCGGAAAAATCGGTGAGGAGCGCTACGGCATGCTGAATGCAGCGCCGGCAGATGAAGCTGAATAAGCCGTTTTCTTCATAGGCAGGTTATCAAGCGCGGCTCAGGGCCGCGCTTTTTTTTTAGCCTTCCGCGCACTCATGTCTCACCAATAAATTCACCTTCGGAAGACAGCTGAACAACGACAGGCAGTTTACTGGAACGCAGTTTCCGCAAAGCTCCGGAGTTTTCGGGAATGCAGCCTTTCCGCGGTCATGTTACGCATCTTTTCCACGGACCTGATGCCGATCTGAAGGTGTTGGGCGACCTGACGCTTGTAAAAGTCCGTTGCCATGCCGGGCAGTTTCAATTCGCCATGAAGCGGCTTGTCGGAAATGCAAAGCAATGTGCCATACGGGACGCGGAATCGGAAACCGTTGGCGGCGATCGTGGCTGACTCCATATCAAGCGCGATCGCTCTCGACTGGGAAAAACGCTTGACCAGTTCTGACTGGTCCCACAGTTCCCAGTTCCGGTTGTCGAGGGACACCACTGTTCCGGTCCGCATCAATTTCTTCAGGTCATAGCCGTCGATGCCGGTAACTTCCGCCACGGCGTCCTCCAATGCGACCTGAACTTCGGCCAATGGCGGGATCGGAACCCAGGTCGGCAGATCCTGGTCCAGGACATTGTCGTCACGGACATACCCGTGCGCCAGCACATAGTCTCCGAGTGTCTGGCTGTTCCTGAGGCCGGCGCAATGACCGAGCATCAACCAGACATGCGGCCGGAGCACCGCGACATGATCGGTGATCGTCTTGGCATTCGACGGACCGACGCCGATATTGACCATGGTGATGCCGCTGCCATCCGCCCTTTTCAGGTGGTAGGCAGGCATCTGGGGCAACTTGGAAAGTTCCGTGCCACAGGAGGGTTCGGTCTCGCCGGATTGCGTGATCAGGTTGCCCGGCGCCACGAAGGCTTCGTAGCCACTTTCCGGGTCTGCCAGGAGTTCATGCGACATGCGGCAAAATTCATCGATATAGAACTGATAGTTGGTGAAGAGCACGTAGTTCTGGAAATGCTCCGCGGCTGTCGCGGTATAATGCTGCAACCTGTGCAGAGAATAGTCGACGCGCGGGGCGGTAAACGAAGCCAGAGGCATAATACCGTCAACGGGTTCATAGGTCCCGTTGGCAATGGAATCGTCCATCACGGTCAGATCCGGCAGATCGAAGATATCGGCCAGGGGCCGGGTCAGATTGGCGGCCGCAGCCCCCCCTCCACATGGGTCCCGTCATAGAATGCAAAATGAAGCGGGATGGGCATCTTGCTATCGCCGACAAGAATCGGCACGTCGTGGTTCTTCATGAGAAGCGACAGCTGGCTATGCAGATAGTTACGGAAGAGATCCGGGCGCGTGATCGTGGAAGCGTGCGTCCCCGGACCCGACACGAAACCGTAGGACAGGCGGCTGTCCAGGCGGACATGACTGTCTGTCACGATCCTGACTTGCGGATAAAACGCCCTCACCCTCTCGTCAAATTCCTGGCCCTCGAGAAGATCGTTGAAGTGCGAACGCAAAAAAGCCGTGTTCGCTTCGAAGATTTCAATCAGACGATCGACCGCTTTTTCCGCGTCTGTAAAAACTTCAAGCGGATGGGACGGCGCAAGCCTGACGCGCCGTTTTCCCGTTGGAATATCGCCATTGATCAAATTGGACATAACTGTCTCCTTATTGTTGTTATGAGGGCACAGTCCCGCCTTGCAGCGCCCGGGTCAATAGATCCAACGGGAGTTTTTTGAATTTTTTTTCACTGAGAGAAAATTTCTGCACCCGACTTTTCGACGGCCAAAAGCAGCACGCGGCATGACGTCACTCAAAACGCCGGCCCCAAAACCGATCAGGTTTCAAACGACTGACACGATCCCGCAATCTTGGAACCTGGTGCGTTCAGGAACGGTCTTTTCCGATACACCTAATGCCGATACTATCCTTGCAAATTCTGACCAGGAGCTTCCCATGAAACGTATCCTTTTGAACCTTGCGGTTGCTGTATCCTCATTGCTTGGGACCGGTATTGCAGCGGTTGCGGCCGATCTCCCCGATCTTGGTGGCAGGGATGTTGTCATTGCTTCGGAGAACACCTACCCGCCGCTTCAGTTCGTGGATCCCAAGACCGGTCAGGCCGGCGGCTGGGAATACGAGGCAGTCGCAGAGATCGCCAAGCGGCTGAACATGAATGTCGAATACGAGAACGTCAGCTGGGATGCCATGATCCCCGCAGTGTCGGCCGGTGAATACGATCTGGCCATGAACGGCATCACCATCCGCGAAGACCGGGCCGAAAAAGTTGCTTTTTCCGATCCCTACATGCGTTCGGAAATGTTCATGCTGGTACGTGCCGACGAAGACCGTTTCACGGATCCCAAGGGTTTTGGGGCCAACAACGATTTCCTGGCCGGCGCGCAACCGGGTACGACCCCCTTCTATGTCACAGTTTACGAAGTTCTCGACGGCGATGAAAACAATCAGCGCATCAAGCTCTTCGAAACATTCGGAGCTGCCGTGCAGGCACTCAAGACAGGTGACGTTGATCTGGTTCTGACTGACAGCACCGGTGGCCAGGGTTACGTCAACGCAAACCCGGACACGTTCAAACTGATCGGCGATCCGATGGGTACGGAGGATTTCGGTTTCATCTTCCCCAAGGGTTCCGAACTGATCGCACCGTTCAATGCAGCGATTGCCAGCATGCGCGAAGACGGCACGCTGGATGCACTGAACAAGAAATGGTTTTTCGACTACAAGGCCGCCCAATAGCAGGTTCCAACCCGTCTCCGGACGGGTAGACAAGCTGCCACGTGGCCGGTATCGGGACATCTCCCGGCACCGGCCACTTTCTTTTCGCAGTTACGTATCCTTGCCTGACGGCGAGGCGTCCCGACCCAGCGAACGACACAAGACACCGACATGTTCCGAAAAAAGACTTCAACGGTATCCCCGCAACAGGATTTTCCTTATTGGCTCGTTGCCGCCAGCGCCATCGCGGTATTTCTCCTGTTTCAGATCGGAACCGACGAAATTTACACGCAAGTCATGACGACGGTTTCCCGAGGTGTCGGACTAACCATTTTCGTGACGCTTGTCGCGTTTTTCCTGGCGTCGGTCATCGGTCTGCTGCTGGCACTTGCCTCGCTCTCCGGCTCGATCGTCCTGCGCCAAAGTGCAAGGTTTTACGTCGAGGTTGTGCGTGGTCTGCCGATCATCGTCTTGTTGCTCTATATCGCCTTTGTCGGCACGCCGCTGATAGTCGCCGCCATCAATGCCGTTCTGGAACCGCTAGGCACCGGCACGATGCGCACCCGCGACTTTCCCCTGCTCTGGCGCGCCATCGTTGCCCTGATGATCGGATACTCCGCATTTATCGCTGAAGTTTTCCGCGCCGGGATCCAGGCTGTCGACAAGGGCCAGATCGAGGCGGCGGAAGCGCTTGGCATGAACAGGTGGCTTCGGTTCCGCCTGATCATCTTTCCCCAGGCTCTCAAGACGATCCTGCCGCCGCTCGGCAACGACTTTGTTGCCATGATCAAGGACAGTTCCCTGGTTTCCGTTCTCGGCGTCGCCGACATCACCCAGCTTGGCAAGGTCTACGCCGCCGGGTCCTTCCGCTACTTCGAAACCTACAATGTCGTCGCACTGATCTACCTGATGATGACCATCACGCTTTCCCTTGCGCTGCGCAGGTTCGAGCGGTCAAGGGATATAGGGGGCCGGTAAGCCACAACTGAACTGCCTGTCCGAACAGGTGTTGGCATCAATTCTTTCTTGTCTTGCTGCGGCTGTTTCTGCGAGTGTGAACTCCGTCAGGAATCCGGCAGACACAAAAGGCGGGAAAGACTTAACGGAGACATGACACATGCGTTCCCTTGAAGAGATCGAAGCACTCGCCGCACAGAAAAAGGGCGGAGCCGAAAAGCTCGCGGCACTTCTTGGCGAGCACAATCTGCCCAAGTCCGAAGCCGAACTCGACACAATCGGCGACGATCGCTGGCTTGCCATGTTTACAAAATGCGTCTTCCAGGCCGGCTTCAGCTGGAAGGTCATCGAGCAGAAATGGGCGGGGTTCGAAGAGGCTTTCCAGGGATTTGATGTCGCCCGCCTCTCCTTTCTGCCTGATGAAGCCTTCGAGGCTCTGCTCAAGGATACCCGGATCGTACGCAATGGTGCCAAGATCAAGGCCGTTCAGGACAATGCAGTGTTCCTGAAGGAGCTGGCCATAGAACATGGCAGTGCCGCACTCTTTTTCTCGCGCTACCCGGTGACCGATCAGATTGGTCTGATGGAGCTCATGAAAAAACGTGGCAGCCGCCTCGGCGGGACAACGGGTCAGCTCGCGCTGCGATTCATGGGAAAGGAAAGTTTCATCCTGCCTGGAGACGTGGTTAACGCCCTGATCCGTGAAAATGTCATTGAGAATGACCGCATGTCGAAAAAAAACCTGAAGGAAATTCAGGTTGCCTTTAACGATTGGAAGACAACTTCCGGTCGCAGTTTCAACGAAATCAGCAGAATTCTGGCCTTTTCGGTCGGCACAAGTCATTAACTTCTCATTCAGCTTTTACGATTGTAAACAAAGCCTTGATTCAAAGGGAATTTTTCTTTTTCCGACTTAACCGCTGATTTACCAAACCCGGTAACCATGACACTCGAAATTGCGTGAGGTAATGCGTCGCAATGAGTGTACTGCGTACCGGGGTGTCCTTAGCGACACCCCACCCCAATGAAAACAAGGAAGCATCCGCTTCCTGGATGAACAAGATCCTGAAGGGCGACTGCGTGTCCGCCCTTGAGAAACTGCCGTCCCGTTCCGTGGACCTGGTTTTTGCGGATCCGCCCTACAATCTCCAGTTGGGCGGCGATCTGCACAGGCCGGATCAGTCGAAGGTGGACGCCTGTGACGACCACTGGGACCAGTTCGACAGCTTCGAGGCCTATGACGCCTTTACCAGATCGTGGCTGCTGGCCGCGCGCCGGGTAATGAAGCCGGACGGGTCGCTTTACGTGATCGGCTCCTATCACAACATTTTCCGTGTTGGCGCGATCCTGCAGGATCTCGGCTTCTGGATCATGAACGACATCGTCTGGCTGAAATCCAACCCGATGCCCAACTTCCGTGGCAAGCGGTTCACCAATGCCCACGAAACCATGATCTGGGCGGTGAAATCCAAGGATGCAAAACCGACCTTCAACTACGATGCATTGAAGACGTTCAACGACGATCTGCAGATGCGCTCCGACTGGCATCTGCCGCTTTGTACCGGAACGGAGCGGTTGAAAGACGGAACCGGTCAGAAGGTGCATCCGACACAGAAGCCGGAAGCGCTGCTTTACCGGGTCCTTACAGCCTCTTCCAGACCGGGAGACGTGGTGCTTGACCCGTTCTTCGGTACCGGAACCACCGGCGCGGTCGCCAAAAAGCTGGGCCGCAACTTCGTTGGTGTCGAGCGTGAGCAGGACTATATCGATGCCGCGACCGCCCGTATCGAAGCCATCGAAGCGGGTGACGGTGAAGCTCTGGAAATGCAGCAAGGCAAGCGAGCCCTGAAACGTATCCCGTTCGGAACGTTGCTGGAAAACGGCCTGCTTTCACCGGGTGCCGAACTTACCTGTTCGAAAGGCAAGCATATTGCAATCGTGCGGGCCGACGGTTCCCTGAAATCGGGCGATCATACCGGTTCGATCCACAAGGTCGGTGCCCTCGTGCAGGGGCAGGAAGCCTGTAACGGTTGGACGTTCTGGCACACCAGGGAAGGTTCAGCCAAGTCACCAATCGATGAGCTTCGCAAGGAAATCAGATCCCGCCTGCAGGTATAAGCAGGCTGACAAGCAGAAGCGAACTTCGTGTTCCCCGCGATAGCACTTAACTCCCGCCTCCTTCTCGGAGGCGGGCTTTTCTTTTTTAACCTTTGCGCTGGCTCAGCCGAGTCCTTCCAACAGATCGGCAAGTGCCAAAGGTTCGGTCACCATGGCGTCGTGCCCGCTTGCGATCTCCTCGATGGGCCATCCAAGTTTTCTGGCACGGTCCAGGGCGACGATGGCCGGCCGGTAAGGCGGGTCAGTGCAGCGGATGTAGTCGGCTGGAAGGCTGTTACCGACCGGGCTTTTCAAGTCGAGCGCGGTCGTAAAGGTTCGAAACGGATGAGGCGTCAGACGCGGCTCGACAAATGAAACGTCTTCTGAGCGGGAAACACCGAAGCTCTCTGCCGGCGCCGGTGGCAGAGTGAGACCGCCGCTGGTTTTCCCGGCCAATTCGGTGCGGTCTCTGGCCATGTCTTCCGGCAGCAGACCAAGCCATGTTTCACCTGCATCCAACATGATGGCATCGAGATAGATCAGCTTGGCAATCCGGTCAGGAACGACATCCGCAACACCGGTGATCGGGATACCGCCAAAGCTGTGACCGACCAGAACAACATTCTTGAGGTTCTCGAAGCGAAGATGCTGGACGATATCGTCAACGAAGGTCTGGATTGTGATATCCGGCGACAGCAAATGCGACCGTTCTCCGAGGCCGGTCTGGGTTGGTGCCGTGACGCGGTGGCCCCGCGCCCTCAACACGTTCGCAACCCGCGACCAGCACCAGCCGCCGTGCCAGACACCGTGAACGAGAACAAAGGTCTTTGTCTCCATGAATGGTCTTTCAATGCAATTTTTCTAAACTATTCAGCAGCTTCAGAGGCAACTTCATACCCACGCAGCTGCTTCAGTTTGTGCCCGACCTCGACGATCGCTTCCAGAGCCGGGATCAGTTCTTCCCCCAGTCCGGTCAACTCGTATTCGACCGACGGTGGCGACGTCGGGCGCACATGACGCAAAAGCACACCGCGCTCTTCAAGCTCGGACAGCCGCGCGGAAAGAACCTTTGATGATACGGGCGGAATGTCTGCCTTCAGCTCGTTGAAACGGCGTGGTCCGGCTCTCAGGCTCCAGATGACATTGGGCGCCCAGGCACCTGCAATCACTTGCATGCATTCCGTCAGCAGACACGGTTCCGGCGGCTGCGGGCTTCGGTTCTTGCGCATTTTCAGTGTCATCTTGCCTGTAACTCCGCAGAAATCAGGTTTCTCCAGGGTAACTCGAAAAACATAGTTACCATCAGTTACCTACTTGTCAACAGTGACCTTAACAAACACCTTCCCGTCATCAACATTCAGTAATGGAGCGAAACGATGAAGTTGTTTTACAAGCCCGGCGCCTGTTCCATGGCGGCACATATCCTTCTGAACGAAGCCGGCGCCCCCTATCTGCTGGAGAAGGTGGATACCGAACAAGGCACGACAGAAACCGGTGTATCTTACCTGACGACGAATCCTCGCGGATACGTGCCTGCCCTGAGGCTGGATGACGGCGCGGTCCTGACGGAAAATGTCGCGATCCTGCACTGGATCGGCGAACAGTTTCCAGAGCTTGCACCTGAATTCAACAACCAGCCATTGCTTCGTTTCCGGCAGCTTGAACTCCTGAGTTTCCTGTCTTCCGAATTGCACAAGGCCTTCAGCCCCTACTTTTCCGGCAAGACCTTCGCGGAGGCAGAACAAGCAGCCATCCGGTCCAGGCTGGACGCCAAGCTGGGTCAGTTCAATGACCTGCTTGCGCAAGGGCAATCCTACTTGATCGCAGATGCGTTCTCCGTCGCCGATGCCTATGCATTCGTCATATTGAACTGGACCAACTTCATCGGGGTTTCCCTGGATGCCTGGCCGGAAACGAAGGCCTATGTTGCGCGTATCGCCGCTCGGCCATCAACTCGCAAAACCTTGCAAGAAGAAGGGCTTGCCGCATGACCGGCCCGATCGAGGAACTAACCGGTGTGATCACCGACTATTTCGATGCCCTTTATCACTGCGATACGGATCTGCTGCAGAAGGTTTTTCATCCCAAGGCGGTTTATGCGACCGCAGACGAGTCTCCCCTGCTGCACAGGACCATGGACGAGTATGTTCCCGTGGTCGCGGCCCGGGTGTCACCCGCCTCGCGCAGTGAGGCTCGCAACGATGTCATCGATGAGATCCAGCTCGCCGGTGACAACACGGCCTTTGCCCGCGTTCGCTGCACCATGGCAGGCAAGGCCTATGTCGATTTCCTGACTTTCGTCCGTGAAGACGGGCGTTGGCGGATCATGGCAAAGATCTTCCAGATGAATGCACAAGCCGAAGGAGCTGCCTAGCCATGCCCTATGTCAATATCCAGGTGACCCGCGAAGGTGTCACGTCGGAGCAGAAAGCCCGGCTCATAAAGGGCGCGACCGATCTGCTCGTCGAGGTTCTTGACAAGAACCCGATGACGACATTCGTGGTGATCGATGAAGTCGGGATGGAGAGTTGGGGGATCGGCGGACTGCCGGTTGAGCGGTTTCGGGTGCAGCAACTTACAAAGGCCTAAAAAGGACGGAGCCGGTGGAAACACCGGTTCCGTGTTTTTGCAACGTCTTGTCGTCGTCAGGCTGGAGAAAAAACCGAAGAGGCCAACGTGCTGGCTACGGCTCATCCTTTTACATTAACGCCGTGATCATTCGACTCTGAAGCTTTCGAAATGAGTGGATCCCTGATCTCCGCTGCGCTGCGTCCGGGATGACCTTGAAAGAGGAACTGCAACCGATTCATCTCCTCGAAGTCATCCCCGACTTGATCGGGGATCCAATGCGATTGGCATCCAACAGACCTGCTATTTTTCCAAGTATCTGAACAAGCGAATCGTCGCAGACTAAAGACCACGACCCATTGGACTACTGAAACTCCACCTCTTGAATTAAGACAGTTCTGAAAACACAGCCCTGCATTCGTGTCCTTTTCACTCGAACCCGACCAACGCCTTACGGCGCCTTCCAACCGAAACGGCGAGCCGGTCGTTTGCTTTCAGGTCACCGGTGCCGATCCGGCGGCGCGGGTCCTCGATGATCCGGTTGTTGAGCCGTACACCACCCCCTTCCACCAGACGCCGGGCTTCGCCATTGGATGCCGCAAATCCGATTGCGACGACGAGCTCGAGAAGTCCCAGACCTTCGGCAAGGCGTTCAAGCGGCAGTTTGTGGGTCGGTTCGAGAAGGTCATCGCCGCCTGAGAACAAGGCATCTCCCTGTTGCAAGGCTGCACGCGCTTCCTCTGGTCCGTGAACGATGGTTGTTACCTGGGTCGCAAGGATCTTCTTGGCTTCATTCAGCTCCACACCCTGCAATTCGGACAATCTTTCGACTTCCTTGATCGGCAATTCCGTGAAAAGGCGGAGGAACTTGCCGACATCGGCATCCGCCGTATTGCGCCAGAACTGCCAGAAGCCGAACGGTGACAGATGTTCGGGATGCAGCCAGACAGCACCGGCGGCTGTCTTGCCCATCTTGGCCCCGCTTGCAGTCGTCAGCAGAGGAACCGTGAGGCCGTGCAGCTTGCGGCCGTCACGTCGGCCGAGTTCGACACCGTTGACGATGTTGCCCCACTGATCGGATCCGCCGACCTGCAACACGCAGTCGTGGCGCTTGGCCAATTCCAGGAAGTCCACCGCCTGCAGCATCATGTAACAGAATTCCAGCACGGTCAGCGGCATCTGCGCATCGAGGCGCGACTTGACGCTGTCGAACGTCATCATGCGGTTGACAGTGAACTGGGAACCATAGTCGCGGAGAAATTCCAGGAAGCGGAACTCGTTGAGCCACTCCGCGTTGTCGACCAGCAAGGCACCATCGGGACCGTCCATGTCGACAAGCCTTTCGACCGACCGGCGAATGGTTGCGATATTGGCGGAAATCTGTCGTTCTTCCAGAAGTGGCCTTGCATCATTCCTGAAGCTCGGATCACCGATCTGGCTGGTCCCGCCACCAAGGACGACGATGGGGCGATGGCCGAGCTTTTGCAGCCAGCGCATGGTCATCAGCGGCATCAGGTGCCCGACATGGAGACTGGCGGCGGTAGCATCAAACCCGGCATATGCGGTGACCAGTCCTTCGGAAAGCGTTCGGTCCAGCGCTTCCACATCCGTGCACTGGTGCACGAGACCGCGCTCCAGGAGCACCGCGAGCGCTTCCGATTTGAGCTTGGTCGCCGGTTTACCGGCTTCGATCATGTGTTTGGTCATTTTCGGCTTCCTGGTTTCCCCGCCAGGAGCCCTTGAAACCAAAAAGCCGCCTGACGCGGCGGCTTTTTAGGTTTCTATCAAGTGAGCAAGATCCTACGCAGCCGCCGGTATGTCGGTGACGTAATAAAAATACGCAAAGGGTGCTGCGATCTTGGCCATGGCATTTTAGATGCGTTATCCGCCTCCCAGAGTCAAGCCGGATTTTTCAAGAATGGGTTCAGGTCCATCTCAGTTTCGCGCTGGTCTCAGGACAGCCCCAGCTCACTTTCGCCTCTTGAAAGAATGATCGGGACGATCAAATCCTCTTCATCGGCAAGATGCCGTTTGAGCCCCATGAGAAGCATATCGCTGGTCGCTGCATAGTTGTCCGAGGCCCGCCGAATTGCGTCCCGGTCGCCCTCCTGCAGCTGACCGATCAGTTCATTGGCGCTGCCGATCACCGTCTCGATACGATGATGTATAACCTCATGATCGTTTTCCAGAAGCTCAAAGCCAGGGAGCAAGCGTTTTTCCGCCTCCATGAAGACGGGAAAATAGTGGTGATCCTCGATCATGTGATGATTGTGCAATTCGGTGAGGAAATGCTGGAGCTGCGGGGCGAACATGCCGCCAAATCTTTCGGGTGGAATCTGGCCTTCGCGAAACTGGCGCAACATGGAAATCAAGGTGTTGCCGAAATTGCGGAAACCGTCATGACGGTTGAGCCAGAAATTCGTCAATGGTCCGAGATTGCCATGCCCCAGCCACGCATCCCTCGGGTATTCCCGGAGAAGAAAAAGCCACTCCTGCGGCAAGTCCTGACGACTATCGATATCAAGCGGGTCGTTCATTTGCGCTGTCACCCTTCGTTTGGACAGCAACTGGTGCGTCAGGTCGGTCGGCTTCCTGTTGCTTACTCTTATCAGGGGTATCATCTGTCACCAACCAATCTGCGCCCGTCGAAATCAAATTTGCAAAACGTCAATCATGCAATTTTTCGAAAATTATCCTCGTTTTCAGGGCAACAGCTTGCCCAGCAGCTTCCAGAGTGTTTCAGCCTCTTCGTCGTCGAGATGCGCCGCAAACTCGATTTCGACCGCTTCGCGGTAGACCGGCCACATCCTCTCAAGCAGTGCCTCACCTTCCGGTCGCAAGAAAATCATCACTCCGCGACCATCATCCGAAGCCCGCCTCTTGTCCACGTACGAGGCCCCAACCAGCCGCTCGATCAGCCTGGAAACGTTATACTGCGCCAGAAGCATTCGCTTCTCAATATCGACGGGCCTGAGGCCAACCCCGTCTGCACGCCGCAATTCCAGAAGAACATCATACCAGCCAAGTGGCGGGAAACCCTCCGCCTTCAGGCGGGCTTCCACGCGGGAGAGAACTGCACCACTTGACCGTTGCAGCCGCGCCCAACATTCCATCACATCCGGGAAATGCCGGTCTTTCAGGTTTCCAGTCATGTTCAACGCATAGAACTTTAATGCATGTGCATCAATCTTGTATTTTCATGCATCTGCATCTATTTTAATGCAAGTGCATGAAAATGGAGTTCGACATGACATATCCCTTCACCCTGATCAGCCACAGTCTTTGCCCCTACGTTCAAAGGGCAGCCATCGTTCTTGCGGAAAAGTCCATTCCTTTCGACCGGACCTACATCGATCTTTCGGACAAGCCGGACTGGTTCAAGGCCGCATCGCCACTTGGAAAGGTCCCCTTGCTGAAGACCGGTAACGACAGGTACCTGTTCGAATCGGCACCGATCGTGGAGTTCATCGACGAAACACAAGCCGAAAGACTCCATCCCGACGATCCGGTTGAGCGCGCAACTCACCGCGCTTACGTTGAATTCGCTTCGCAGATCCTGAACGGGATTGGCGCTCTATACAGCGCAGCTGATGAGCAGAGTTTCGAAAACGCAAAGCATGCCCTGCGATCGAAATTCGAGCATCTCGATACCCGAATCGACGCTACGGGTCCTTTTTTCGATCGTGACCGATTTTCTATCGTCGATGCCGCCTTTGGCCCGGTTTTTCGCTACTTCGATGTCTTCGACACGTTCACCGATCTTGGAATTTTCAATGACCTTCCCAGGGTCAGGCGCTGGCGGTGTGCCTTGGCTGTGCGCCCCTCGGTTGCGAATGCGGTTACAGACGAATATGCAACGCTTCTGCGTGCCTTTGTGTTGAAAAAAGGCAGCTGGATCACCGGTTTGATGCTGTCGGCCGAGGCCGAGTCTCCGGCGCATTCTACCCGGTAAACGAATACGCCCTACCAGCGGGGCGCTGGCCCCGCCGGTTTGTCGAATGGCTTGCCGTCTACTGGACCGATAGTGGCCGGGTGACGAGCACAGCCTTGTTGTCCCCGTTGAAATAGCGAAGCTCGTAATCCCCGGCTTCTTTCGGGGCATTCAGGTTGACAGTCTGGGCGTCGATATCTCCTGACCATACGCGCCTTTCAAAGACAGCTCTGCCTTTGCCGCCACGTGCCTTGGGATCCCAGATCTGCACCGAATCATACCGAGCCCCGGGTCCTTTCCAGGAAACTGAAAATTTTGTCCCCGTTTCAACGCTCTCCGGCCCCTCAATCGCTATTTCAAGCGGAACGACGGCAATCGGACGCGTCAGCATCACGGTCTTGTTGTCACCATTATAGTAGCGCAACTCGTAGTCGCCCGGTTTTGCCGCGCTCGGCAATGTGACCTTGCTGTTGTCAAAATCGTCATTGCGCAGTCGTTTTTGATGAACAACCCGGCCGTCACCGGCGCGCGCCCGCGGATCAAAGAACTGAACGCTGTCGTAGCGTGCACCGGGGCCGGTCCAGACGACGGTGACATGGCGGCCCTGACCGATCTCGTCGGGAGCTTCGAGTGCAACGACTGCCGCGGTCACCTCGACAGGCACGGTGGCGAGCACGGCCTTGTTGTCCCCGTTGTAATAGTGCAGCTCATATGGTCCGGCCTTTACCGGTCCCGGCAAGGTTACTCTCTGATTGTCGAAATCGTCGTTGCGCAGACGTTTTTCATGGAGCTTCTTGCCGTTCGCCGGATCGACCAGCCTCACACTGTCATACCGTGCTCCCGGCCCGACCCAGTCGACGACAATCGGTTTGCCGGCTTCAGCCGCTTCTTCCGTTTCAAGCGTGACCGGAGCTTCGATGATGTCCAGTGAACGTGTCGCCAGAACGGTCTTGTCCTCCCCAGCATAATAACGAAGCTGATATGCGCCCGGTTTTGCCGGTGTCGGCAGGGTTACCTTGTTGTTGTCGAAATCATCGTTGCGCAGGCGCTTGTTGTGCAGAACCTTGCCCTCGCCGCCGCGTGCAGACACGTCATAGAGTTGCACCGCGTCGTAACGGCCTCCGGGGCCGATCCATTCCACGGTCACCGGCCGTGCCATGGCGGTTTCGTCCGGGGCGAACAGGGCCACCTCGGCCGGGATCACGTCGATCGCACGTGTTGCCAGGATCTGGCGGCCTGTGCCGTCCCAGTATCGCAATTCATATGTGCCGGGATCGGTCACAACTGTCATGGTGACTTGATTGTTGTCAAAGTCTCCGTTCACGATCGCTTTCGAGCGAAGGCGCTTTCCCTCTCCTCCCCGGGCCATCGGATCATGCAACTCGATCTGGTCGTACCGACCGCCCGGCCCCTGCCAGGCGACATCAATCCGTGAACCGATCTCGGCTTCGTCCGGTGCCTCAAGCAACGCATCGGGCAGCTGCGCCGGTTCAGCCGCTGCTTCTTCCACGGGAACCGTTTCGACTGTTGCAGTCAACGCATCGGAAAGTTCCGCCGTGCTGCCGGCCTGGATGTAGAGACCACCGGTGTTTTCCGCCAGGCAGGCGACCTGACGTCCTTCCTCCTCGCTCAAGCCAAAGCCAATCACATGCGCGGTGAAGTTCACGCCGAGCCGCGCAAGTTCGTTGCCAAGGGCACAGGGATCCGCATTGCAGGTTTCAATCCCGTCCGTGACGAGCACGACGGTCGCCTTGTCTTCCGTGAAGCGCATGGTTTCGGCGGCCTGGCGCACCGACGCAGACAACGGCGTCTTTCCTTTGGGCGTGATCCTGTCTGTTGCTGCCTTGATGGCCGCACCAGTCCCGGTTGCCGGAGGAACGATCAGCTCGATATCAGCGCAATTGCCTTTTTCACGGTGCCCGTAGGCAAAGAGCCCAAGTTCCAGGTCAGCTGGAAGCGTTCCCAGAACATTTGTCATGGCATCGCGCGCGATTTCAATCTTGGTGCGGCCTTCGATCTGGCCCCACATGGAGCCCGAACCATCGAACACAATTGCGACCTTGTCTGCGGCCAGGGAATGAGACGAAAAAACGGATAATGCTGTAATTGCAAAAACAAGCGGTCGAAACATAGAACCTCCGACGAAATGGAATAAGCGAGATATCGCAAGGTAAACCTGCCACATGACGCCATCTTCGCAAAGGTCACAGTTTGCCGGTCGGGCGATCAGCTCAACATACGACGACCCCTGCCGCGTCAAGTTCGCTTTTCAAGGAAGGCCATTTCGCGGGTGTTGCGGTCAGCGTCGCGGGTTCGCGGATTTCCACGTCATAGCCGCGCGCGCGTGCCCCCTTCGCCGTCAGCTGGACGCAATGGCACGCATCCAGGCCAACCAGAGTCAGACGCCCGATCTTCTTTTTGTCTAGCCAGGCCTCGAAATCGGGATTTGAAAAAGTGTCTCCAACGGATTTTTCAAATACCGGCGCGTCTCCCAGATCAACGTCGCGGTCGAATTTCAAACCTTCCCGGCCCGGCGTCCCGATGCCACCGGCCACAAGTTTCATCAACTGGATGACTGGCCAGTCCCGAAAAATGTTCTTTACGAAAGCAACCTCGCTGCCGTGAGAGCGGGCCTCGGCGATTTCCTGGTTCATGATCTTCAATGCCGCGTCCCGAACTTGCGGATCAAAGCCCTGCTTGCCGGTGTTGCGCGTGAAATCTTCCTGAACATCGATGACGAGGAGCGCTTTGGACGGTCTTTCAGTCCGGTTGATCAACACCCCTTTCGTTGGCGTGCCGAGCTTCCTGACGAAAAACCCGACATAGCCGAACAGCGCCGCCAACAGCAAAACAAGGCCACCGATAACACTCCAAAAGACGGACATGGTACTTCTCCAGCATAAGAATTATTCCAGCGCCTTGGGACGATCGGGATCGTCCTCAAACTCTGCAAAGTGGTCGAGCATGGCGCAGAGGACACGTTGCGTTGCCAGGATATCGTCTGCTGAAAAGAGCTCGCAGACTGCATCGATCTCGTCATTTTCCCGGGCCCGGACTTCTCCAAAAACCGTCTTGCCCTGATCTGTCAGGGAAAAGAGCGGTGAACGCCGGTGTGCGGGGTTGGGCTGCCGTTCAACAACACCTGCTTCCTCGAGAGCATTCACGATCAGCTGGATCTGCTGGCGCGTCAGAAACAGGACCCGTCCGATTTCGGGAACGGAAAGCGATCCGGTCTCATCAAGCACCTCCATGACCGCTCGCATGCCAACCGTTACACCGGTTCCGCTCAACTTTGCTTCCACCGCGCGCGCCAGGCGGCGGTGAACCGGGCGGATCAGCCTGACGATCTCATATAGTTCCACAGATTTCTTCATGACACCTTCTCTTGACATAAATATTGTCATAACGACAATTATATTGTCAATATAGAAAGCCTGTAAACCGGGTTTCCAAGTCTGGGTGTTGTCGTTGCAGTCAGCATCAGGGTCCCATTTCCCGGGAGAGATTAGTCAAATGCAAGTGCCCCGGCACAAGGGCCGGGGCAGCATGACACAATCCGAATTGGCTTCAGGAAGGTTAGGGAGCGATCAGCTTCACCGGACCCTGCTCAATGACGATCTCGCAACTGACGGAATTGGCGATAAAGCAGACGTCATGCGCCTTTTCGTGCATGTCGGTTAACCAGGACTCGTCCGGTTGTTCACTTGCGATCAGCGTGATTTCCGGACGCAGAACCACTTTGGTGATGGCCATCTTGCCACGGCCAACGCGACTCATTTCGCCCTCCGCGTGATCCCGGTAACTGGCGACATTGAAATTCGCCCGCCGGGCCAGATCGAGAAACCAGAGCATGTGGCAAGAAGAAATCGCCGCCACGAAAGCTTCTTCCGGATCAACGGCCGCCTCTACTGAATGTGGTGGAGCGACCACTGTCGGTGATGCGCTTGCCGGTACCTCCAGGCCGCCGTCAAAACGCCAGATATGGCCTCGGGAATAGGCATTGGCTGCATAGTCGCCGTCGCATGCCCACTCCACCTGAGCCGTATAATAGTGACCTGCCATGGTTCAAAGAGACTCGACAAAGGCCTTGTAGCCTGCTTCGTCCAAGAGTTCGGCAAGCTGGCTTTCATTGCCAACCTTCATTTTCAGAAACCAGGCAGCACCTTCCGGATCCTCGTTCACTTTCCCCGGCTCATCGGAAAGCGCTTCGTTGGCCTCGACCACTTCACCGTCGATCGGTGCGTAGACCTCACTTGCCGCCTTTACAGACTCCACGACACCCGCTTCGTCGCCTTGGGCGAGTTCGGTGCCAGCATCTGGCAACTCGACATAAACAACGTCACCGAGCTGTTCTTGAGCATATGAGGTGATGCCGATTGTTGCGATGCCTCCGTCAACTGAAATCCACTCGTGATCCTTGGAGTAATAGGTGGTCATGTCCTTATCCGTTCTCTCGATTGTTCAAGGGTTTGATTTGCGATAGTAGCGATTTGACACGAAGGGCATATCTGAAACTGTTGCCGGAAGACGACGATTGCGGACGATCAGCTCCAATCCGGTGCCGGTCTTTGCAAACCCGACCGGCACATATCCCATCGCGACAGGCACACCGACCACGGGGCAAAAGCCGCCACTGGTGACGGTGCCGATAACCGGCCCATCAGGTTGCGCGATCTCCGCACCGTTGCGGGCGGGGACCCCGCCATGGAGCCTGACGCCGATCCGGACCCGGCCCGGACCGTTCTTCAATTCCCGTTGAATACGGTCCGCGCCCGGAAAACCGCCCTCCTCACGCCGGCGTTTCTGCATGCAGAAAATTATGCTTGCTTCGACCGGTGATGTTGTTTCATCAAGATCGTGACCGTAAAGGCACAGGCCCGCCTCCAGCCGAAGACTGTCACGTGCTCCAAGACCAACCGCGTCAATACGCTCGTCAGCCAGCAGTGCCCGCGCGATCGGTTCGGCAGCTCCGGCCGGAACCGACAATTCCACGCCGTCTTCACCTGTGTAACCGGCACGTCCGACGTGACAATCAATGCCGTCGAACTGCGTGGAACATGCCGACATGAACGCGAGGTCTGCTGCTTGCGGCGCATGTGCAGCGACAGCATTGACAGCCTCCGGCCCCTGTACGGCAATCAGCGCCCGGTCCTCGATGACTTCGAGCCTGACCGCGTCTTGCAGATTTTTCCGAAAATGCGCGATGTCGACCTCTTTACGCGCCGCGTTGACGACCAGATAAAGACACCCGTCTTCCGCGACGGTTTCAGGCCGTGTCACCATGAGATCGTCGATGACACCGCCTTCGCGGTTAAGCAGGACAGAGTAGCGCTGCCGCCCGCGCGGCAGGTCGACGAAACTGGATGGGGTCAACGCTTCGAGTGCGTGTGCTGTCGTCTCGTGGTCCGGCCCGACGAGAACAAGCTGTCCCATGTGAGACACATCGAACAATCCGGCCTTGCTGCGCGTGTGCAGGTGCTCGGCCAGTATGCCGTTCTGGTACTGCACCGGCATTGTGTAACCCGCGAACGGAACCATGCGTGCGCCGAGCTCCAGATGGAGATCGTGAAGTGGCGTCTGCATCAATTCTGTCACTTCGGTGGCCATTGCCATCATTGGTCCTCGAATGCAGGGCGTTGCATGGCATTCCGGCAGATCATGAACCGGTCAACCAGCACCCCCTCTGTCCGAGTACCTGAGAGATTTCCTGTCGAACGCCATGAGTCGCGCGCCAGTTACTCCTTCGGTGAGCAGTCCACTGAGCAGTTCAGTGGAGCACTGCTTTCCAGAGCGTTGTTCCCCATGCGGTCCTTTTGCCTGAGAGTTTCCGGGGCGGTTGCTCCTTCGGCGCCGGGTCATTTGACCCGGGCTCTCCCGCGTGGGGCACGCGCGTTGCCGCGCCAAACAGGTCACGACCCTGATTGCGGGCGGGATTTTGCGAGCGGGGAATACCCTTGTCAATACAGGATTAATCCGGCCGGGATTGAAGTCTTTCAAAACAAGACCCACGGCAGCCAGGGTAACGTAGCGGCTTCCCGACAGTCTTGTGATCCGCGGGTCACGGCGTGTATGTGTTTCCGCGGAAGACGTCGCTCAGCGGCGACGCCCTTCATCAAATCCGAACACCACCTTGACGCTCTGGCCCTGCGGAATCGTGAATTTTTCCTCGATCAACGTCCACTTTTCCGCAGGCGCGCTCTCCCCGAGCGTCACGGGAACGGTCAGCACTTCAGAGCTCAGGGGTTTGGCACCAGTGCCGCCGGGCACGATCGCGACCCGCAGCGGCAGAACGATCTCACCGCCTTTCCAGGCCGGGCCAGGTGTTACGTCACCGGACAGCCCGACTTTCATGATCCGCTGACCGTCCGCCTGCTGGGTGCAGCTGTTTGCCCAGTCTTCGACCGTTGCCTGATAGAGCAGGCCTTCGGATTCATCTTCTTTGCCGCGAACGTAATTCCTGATCAGGTAAGCGTTTGACTTCAGTTCCATGGACGGACAAGGCACCGGCGGTGCAAAGGTTGCCGGAGAAACTTCGATCGGTTCCTGTCCGCCCGTGATTATCTTGCTGGCAATACTGTCGGAACCTCCGCCACAGCCTGCCAGGGTCGCAGCGCACAAACCAGCTGTCAGAATTGTCTTCAGTTTCACGTCGAATACGGCCTGGAACGCACTGATCATCATCTACCCATCGGATCGAAAAGCAACTTGGCGGAGTGTCATAGCAGGTGAACATTTGCTTGGCGAGGCTTGATCGCCTGAAAGCTTGAAGCATCTCATTGTGGCTGAAATAGTGTGCACATCAGCGCATCTACTTGACAGGCATGACCTTGAAGCCCTTATTGCGGCCAGGAAGGTTTGCTGAAAGAGCACCATGAGCGATACCAAGCAGATAAAACCGCCACTTACGATAAAACTCTGTGCGCCACGCGGGTTCTGCGCCGGTGTGGACAGAGCGATCCAGATTGTTGAACTTGCGCTGGAAAAATACGGCCGTCCCGTTTATGTGCGCCACGAAATCGTTCACAACAAATTCGTTGTTGATGGTCTTAAAGCCAAGGGAGCAGTCTTCGTCGAGGAATTGAGTGAAATTCCTGCTGATGATGCCGGCAGGCCCGTGATCTTTTCCGCGCACGGCGTCCCGAAGTCGGTGCCCGAAGATGCCGAGGCACGCAACATGTTCTTTCTGGACGCTACGTGTCCGCTGGTTTCCAAGGTGCACAAGGAAGCTCAGATCCACGATCGGCGCGATCGTGAAGTGCTTCTGATCGGACATGCCGGCCATCCGGAAGTCATCGGGACGATGGGCCAGCTGCCGGCGGGAACCGTTGCGCTCATCGAAACCGAGGAAGATGCCCGAAAATTTCAACCCAAGTCGGACAGATCGCTCGCCTACATTACCCAGACGACTCTATCGGTTGACGACACGGCCGGAATTGTTGCGGTCCTGCAGGAGCGTTTTCCCGACATCGTTGCCCCACACAAGGAAGATATCTGCTACGCAACAACGAACCGGCAGGAAGCGGTAAAACATGTCGCGCCGGATGTGGATGCAATGGTTGTTGTCGGTGCGCCGAATTCTTCCAATTCCCAGCGCCTGAGGGAAGTTGCTGAACGCGCCGGCTGCAAGGTTGCGGTTCTGATACAGCGTGCAAGCGACATCGAGTGGCCGGATTTCGAAGACGCACGGTCCCTTGGACTGACGGCAGGTGCATCGGCGCCGGAAACTCTGGTAGAGGAAATCATCGACGCGTTTTCCACCCGGTTCGATGTCATCGTCGAAACCGTACGAACCGCTGAGGAGACAATTTCCTTCAATCTGCCACGGGAACTCAGAGACGTGGTCTCGACGCCCCAGGCGGCTACCGGATAAGAACATGGCCGTTTATACCGAAGTGACCGATGAGGAATTGCAAGACTTCATCGGAACCTACGATGTGGGGCGCCTGCTTTCGTTCAAAGGCATTGCCGAGGGTGTTGAGAACAGCAACTTTCTCGTCCATACCGACAAGGCCTCCTACATTCTGACACTTTACGAAAAACGGGTAGATCCCGACGATCTGCCCTATTTCCTCAATCTTTTGCAGCACCTTGCCGGCAAGGGTCTTTCCTGCCCGACACCTGTTCCATCAAGGGATGGCGAACTGCTTGGGACGCTGGCTGGCCGCCCGGCCGCGCTTGTCACATTTCTGGAAGGTATGTGGGTCAAGCGCCCACGGGTTGAACATTGCGCCGGCCTTGGAAGGGCGATGGCCGAACTGCATCTTGACGGCCAGGACTATGACGGTTTTCGGACCAATGCGCTGAATGTCGCCGGCTGGCGGCCCTTGTTCGAACAATGCGGAGACCGGAGCGACACTGTTCATCCGGGACTGGGAGACGAGATTACGCGGGAACTGGCGCATCTCGAAGCGACCTGGCCGTCAGACCTGCCGCACGGTGTCATTCACGCCGACCTGTTTCCGGACAATGTCTTCTTTCTCGGCAACGAGCTTTCGGGTCTGATCGACTTTTATTTCGCCTGCAACGATGCGTTTGCCTACGATATCGCGATCTGCCTGAATGCCTGGTGTTTTGAAATCGACCTTTCGTTCAACGTGACAAAGGCCAGGGCACTGTTGAAAGGTTACACTTCCGTTCGCCAGCTCGACTCCAACGAATACGACGCGTTACCGACCCTTTGCCGCGGTGCTGCCTTAAGGTTCCTGCTCACGCGGCTTTATGACTGGTTGAGCGTGCCCGAGGGAGCCCTTGTTACACCCAAGAACCCGCTGGAATACCTCAAGAAACTGAAATTCCATCAGACAATTGGCGGTACGGAGGCTTACGGACTGGAACGATGAGCAATCAGAATCGCGTAACGGTTTTCACCGATGGTGCCTGTTCCGGAAATCCGGGCCCCGGTGGATGGGGTGTGTTGCTTCGTTTCGGCGAGCACGAAAAGGAACTGAAAGGCGGGGAGCCGGAAACCACCAACAACCGCATGGAACTGACCGCGGCAATCGAGGCACTGAATGCACTCAAGCGCCCCTGCGCGATCGACCTCTACACGGACAGCACCTACGTGCGGAGCGGGATCCGCGAATGGCTGGACGGCTGGAAACGGAAGAACTGGCGGACGGCTGCCAACAAACCGGTGAAGAATGCCGACCTCTGGCAGGCCCTCGACGAAGCACGCAAACGCCATGACGTTTCCTGGCACTGGGTCAAGGGTCATGCAGGGCATCCTGACAACGAACGCGCGGACGAACTGGCGCGCGGCGGCATGGCACCGTATAAGAACGGCGATTGAATACAGCTCCCGACCGACGCGCTGAGGAAATCAAGTGAGAGATCTCTGCTGGTCCGCTCCCGCATCGCGGCGTCAAGCCGCACCCGACATTCCAGGGTCCGTGCTGATCATGGCGAACCCCACTTCCGGCGGATACAAGGCGGAATTCCTCGACAGCGTCCGTACAAGACTGGAAGATCTCGGTTTCCGCACAGAAATCAGACTCACCAGGCATGCCGGTGAAATCGGCGAAGTCTGTGCCAACCCAGGCCTGGGTGTTCGAACGCTTGTCGTTGCCGGGGGCGATGGATCGATCAACGAGGCACTGACGGGCTTTCAGAACAATCCCGACCCGCCGCAGCTTGCTGTCATCCCCATCGGGACGGCGAACGTCCTTGCTCTCGAACTCGGTCTGCCACGAAAGCCGCTTGCGATCGCTGACATGATCTGGCGGCAGAAGACGAAATCTCTGCGCTTCGGACTTGCCAACGGTCATCCGTTTGTTCTCATGGCGTCCAGCGGCTTCGATGCGGAAATCGTTCACGCCGTGCCGCTGGCTCTCAAGCGGAAGCTCGGCAAGCTTGCCTACGTGATCACTGCTTTCAGGATCGGTTTCAAACGCAAGGCGAGCCATCTGGAAATTTCACTGGACGGCGAAACGATCAATGGAAAATTCGCGGTCGCCAGCAATGCGCGCCACTATGGTGGTCCCTTCGTCATCTGCCCGCACGGGGCGACAGACCCGGGTCTGTACATGCTGGTGCTGGACAAGGACGACCCCTGGTCTTCCCTGCGTTATGGATTGGCGCTGATGTTCGGACGAATACACAAGGCGCGTGGCGCAACCGTCCGGCCGTTTTCCGTGGCCACTATCGCTTCAACCTCGCCCGTCGCTGCGCAAGTTGACGGCGATCCATTCGGCACTACGCCACTGGAAATCCGCCAAACGGAGAAGACAGTGCCGGTACTGGTTCCCTGACATCCGTTGTCTGCCGCAGGGCGCCATACGAGTTCAAGGCCAGGCCGGGAACGCCTATGCGCTTTCAGCTTCTGCCGGCATTTTCCGGAGCATCTTGGTCGCATCGGAGGAAGACATCGCTTCTCCGAAGAAGAAGCCCTGTGCAAATTCGCAACCGAGCTGGTAGAGCTCCAGCGCATCCGTCTCACTTTCTGCACCTTCCGCGACAACGGACATGCCCAGATCGTGGCCCATGGCGACGATTGTTCGAAGCAGGACGGATCGGGCAGACGACCCATTGGTCTTCACGAAGGACTGGTCGATCTTGATGGTGTCGAACGGGAAGCGCTGCAAATACGACAGGGAGGAATGACCGGTTCCAAAATCATCCAGAGACAGCCCGGCCCCAAGGCTGCGCAGCCGCTCCAGTACCTTTGCCGAGTATTCCGGATTTGACATGACGAGGGATTCCGTCAATTCCAGTTTCAAGGTTCCCGGTTCAAGAGATGTCCTTGAAAGCACCGCCTTCACATCGTTGATGAGATCCTGTTTCAACAACTGGCGCGACGACAGGTTCACCGATGCAAACAGCGGCCTTTTTATCGGATACTCTCTCTGCCAGAAGGCGAGCTGCTGAGCTCCCTTGTCCAGCACGTACATCCCGAGTTCGTTGATCAGGCCAGACTGTTCTGCGATCGGAATAAACTCCGATGGTGCAATCTTTCCGCGCTTCGGATGGTTCCAGCGCGCCAAAACCTCGTAACCGGCAATGGACTGGTCTTCCAGGCGAATGATCGGCTGGTAAAATACGCCGAGCGTTTCCTTCTTGATGGCCTCACGCAGGTCCGCTTCAAGATCGACGATATTCTTGTCGAGCGGCCGCAGGATAGGTCTGAAAACTTCCTGCCGGTCACCGCCCAGTCGCTTGGCGTGATTGAGCGCGATCTCCGCGTTGGTGACCATATCTTCAACGGCCTGTTTACCGCCCTCGAAGAAGGCAATCCCGACCGAACAGGTCAGAAAGATTTCCCGGTCCCCGAACGTGATCGGTGCGCGGACCGCTTTGCGCAGGGAATCCGCCAGGGCGACGATCCTGTCCGGCTCCTGTTCCGACAAGAGCACCAGGCCATACTGGTCGCCGGACAACCTGCCAAGCGTGTCCTGCTGGCCAATCAGGCGGCCGAGACGGCGTGCCACCGTCAGGAGAATGCTGTCACCTGCCGACAGGCCGATGCTGTCATTGACCTGCTTGAAGCGGTCAAGATTGAGAACGAGCAAAGTGGGTTTGGCTGTTTCTTCCGCCTTCGAGCGCACAACACTGGTGCGCAGGCGATCGACGAACAGTTCCCTGTTCGGCAATCCAGTCAGGTTGTCATGTACCGCATCATGAAGCAGCCGCTCTTCTGCCGTGCGCTCCTCCGTCACGTCAAGCAATGTTCCAACGCAGCGTATCACCTCACCGTCGGACCCTATGATCGGCCGGGCGCGCAACCTGAACCAGCGGAAGTGTCCATCTTCAGAGCGCAGGCGGAATGTCTGCATGACCTTGCCGCGACGCTGGTCGATAACGGCGTCAAGCGTCGCCCGGAACCGGTCCCGGTCCTGTGGATGCAGAACTTCCAGCCAGTCCCTCGCCGGCCCTTCAAGCGCTCCGCGCTTGAGATTGAGCAACTCCTCCACCTCGTTGCCCGTATAGATCCGGTCGCGGTCGATATCCCAATCCCAGATAATGTCGCCGGCACCGGTGAGTGCCAATGCCTTGCGCTCAACATCGGAGATCAGCCCTTGCGCGATTGCACCACCGGCAAAAGCGTGCTGCATCACCGTGAAACCGATGAGCAGGACGATCAGAACAAGGCCGCCACCGAGCGCTGGTTGAACAATATCGTTGGATAGATATCCCGTCACCGTCATGGCGGAGCCGACAAGCCAGGCAATCAAAAGGCACCAGGTGGGGATCAGCAGGATCGCCCGGTCGTATTGCTGGAATGCCAGCACGGCAATCGTTATGAAACCGAGTGCGCCGATAACGCCGAGTGACAAGCGCGCAACGCCTGCCGCAATTGACGGATCCCAGACCGCAACGCCCAAAAGCCCGAGGATGAGGATCAGGGTCGTCAGTGCCAGGTGGGAGTAGTGTATGTTCCAGCGATTGAGATTGAGATAGGCGTATAGAAAGATGAGCAGGCTGGCTGCAAGCATGACTTCAGCGCAGGACCGCGCCAATTGACTGCCGCCACCGTCGAGATTGAAGACAAGGCCCCAGAAGCCGAAATCGATACATAGATAGGCCAGGACCGACCACGCCAGCGCCGCGGTGGCAGGAAACATGACGGTTCCCTTGACCACGAACAAGATGGTCAGGAACAAGGCCAGAAGACCGGAAATCCCCAAAATGATGCCGCGGTAGAGGGTGTAGGCGTTGATCGTTTCCTTGTAGACGTCGGGTTCCCAGATACGCACTTCGGGAAGTTTGGGCGTCGTCAGTTCGGCCACGAATGTCACGATCGAACCGGGATCGAGCGTTACCAGGAAAACGTCTGCTTCCAGGCTCTTCAGTCTTTCGGGCGCAATGCCCTGGCTCGGCGTGATCGCGGCTATGCGCGACGAACCGAGGTCCGGCCAGAAGAGATCCGATCCGACCAGCTTGTAATTCGGCGCAACGATGAGACGATCGATCTGTTCGTCACTGGTATTGGCAAGCGCGAAAACAGCCCAGTTCGTGTTGTTGCCGTCAAGCGATGGAACTTCGATCCTGCGCACGATGCCGTCCGCACCGGGTGCCGTGGACACCTGCAGACGTGTTCCGGCGTCCCGATGCAGTTCGATTGAGTTCGTAACATCGAGCGCCTCGATATCGATTGGAACGGGAATCGGCTCAAGTGCTTGAACGGGCAACGCCGCAAACACCGAGACGATCACGCAAAAAGCTAAAACAACACGTCTGATCACACTATTGATCGGGTCCGGCAACAAAATCGACATGGGGCGAAGAACTACCGGGTTGTGGCGCATGTCACAAGAATTCTTTCAAGATACCCTCAACACTAGGGCTAATTTTTCCGGAAAGAACAGCGTGATCCTCCGCAAGACAGGCGTAAAGAAGATGATCCTGCCAGGTCCCGTTAATTAACAGGTAGTTACGTGCGTATCCCTCTCGGCGGAATCCTGCATTTTCGAGCAATCGTATCGACGCCGTATTGACCGGAATGCAAGCCGCCTCGAGACGGTGAAGGTTCAAAACGTCGAAACAAAATGGCAAGATCATGGCGACCGCTGCGGACATGTGTCTCTTTCCCGCATGACGTTCACCCATCCAGTACCCCAACGTGGCGGTCTGGCTCACACCGCGCCGGATGTTGCTGAGCGTCAGACCTCCCAGGACCTCGTTCGTCCTCGACCGGAAAAGAAGAAATGTCAGGCTTCGGCCTTCCTTGCGATCCTTGGCATAGCGCCGCAAGCGCCGGCGAAATCCGGATTTGGTCAGATCATCGGATGGCCACAACGGTTCCCACGGCTTCAGGAAGGCGCGGCTCTCATCTCGCAGTTCCGCCCAGTCCTTGAAGTCGGACATCAATGGTGGGCGGAGGAGATATCCACCCGCCTCAATCAGCAGCTCGGCGTCAGGTGACGATCCCGGCCGTAGCAATGCCATGCCCCGAACCTCGTAGTTTTACAATGACGCGGCCCGCAGCACCGGGGCCTGTTCCAGTCGTCCTGCCAGTTCATCCGCTTTCATGATGCCGTCTATCGGACCGATCGCCGTCAGCGTCGGCGTGGTTCCGACAAAAGTTTCGTGCGCAACTCTGCGAATATCCTCGGCCGTAACAGCTTCGATCTTACTGGAAATTTCATCCGGACCAAGTACCCTTCCATGAACCAGGATCTGACGTGCGATCTGACCGGCACGGGCGGCCGGACTTTCAAGAGCCATCATAAGCCCTGCTCTTATCTGCGCGCGTGATCTGGCAACTTCATCATCGGAGATCGTCTGCGAGGCAGATACTAGTTCGTCCGTGATCATCGGCATGAGCGCCGCCAGGTCGTCATGACTGGTCGCAGCGTGCAATCCGAACAGGCCGGTATCGGAAAATGCCCAGTGGAAACTGTAGATTGCGTAACACAATCCGTGCTTCTCGCGTATTTCCTGGAAGAGCCTTGACGACATGCCTCCTCCCAGAACGGATGCAAGGATCTGAATGGCATAATAGTCCTTGGACTTGTAGGCCAGGCCTTCAAAACCGATCAGTACCTGGGCTTCCATCAGGTCCTTGTTTCGAAGCGTCTCACCACCACCATACTTGGCCGTGGCATCCTGGGCGGCCGCCTCGCCGCTGAAACCACTGAACTTTTCCCTGGCAAGAGCAACCAGTTCGTCGTGTTCAACCGCACCGGCTGCCGCAAGCACCATATCCGGTGCCCTGTAGCGATCGGAAAGATAGGTGTTAAGTGCGTCCCGGTTAAACCCCTGAACGGTTTCCGGCGTGCCGAGAATAGGCCTGCCAATCGCCTGGTCCGGCCAGGCGGCTTCCTGAAACAGATCGAACGCCTGATCATCGGGCGAATCGTTCGCGGCGCCAATCTCCTGCAGGATCACATGCTGTTCGCGGGCCAGTTCCTGCGAATCGAACGTTGAGTTCTGTAGAATGTCGGACAAAAGGTCGACTGCGAGAGGGGTGTCTTCTGCCAGGATCCGCGCATAGTAGTTGGTATGCTCGATGCTGGTCGACGCGTTCAGTTCGCCTCCAACCGCTTCGATCTCTTCAGCTATGCTGCGCGCTGTCCTGGTCTTGGTTCCCTTGAAAGCCATGTGCTCCAAAAGGTGCGTGATGCCATTTTGCTGCACCGTTTCCGCTCGGGACCCGGTCCGCACCCAAACTCCCAGTGCCGCCGTCTTCAAGTACGGCATCTGGTCGGTTACGACCGTCATCCCGTTTTCCAGGACAGTTGTTTGTACTTTCATATAGCTACACCCTGGCGGTGGCGGCGCGGGCGTGTGTCTCGATAAATCGTTCCACCTCGTCCAGTTCTGCCGCCAAAACCTGCTGGCGCTCCTCCGCAGTCATCATATCTTTCAGGTTGTCCGGCAGTTCGGGCCGAATACCTGAGGCTTTTTCAACCGCATCCGGGAACTTCGCCGGATGAGCCGTTCCCAGCACCACCATGGGCACCGAACCGTCTTCGTGGTTCCTGGCCACGTGAACGCCGATCGCCGTATGTGGATCCAGAAGATATCCGGCCTCCTTCCACGTTCCGGCAATTGTCGCCGCCGTCTGCGCTTCGTCACAACGGCCTGCTCCGAAATGGGCTCTCATTTCAGCAAGCGGCCCTTCCTCTATCGAAAAGCTGCCCGACTGGGCGAGCTGGTCCATCATCCGGCGGACCGACGACCCGTCGCGACCGCTAACCTCCGCCAGAAGCCGTTCGAAGTTTGACGAAACCTGGATATCCATCGAAGGTGAAATCGTTGGCGTCACGACCCGCTTTTCGTAGCGGCCGGTTTCGAGTGTACGCGCCAGAATGTCGTTCACATTGGTCGCAACAATGAGCTTTTCGACGGGAAGCCCCATCTTCACTGCCGCGTAACCAGCGAAAATATCTCCAAAGTTGCCGGTCGGGACCGTGAAGGCTACTTTGCGATGCGGTGCGCCAAGGGTGGCACCGGCAACAAAGTAGTAGACGATCTGCGCCAGAATGCGCGCCCAGTTAATTGAATTGACGCCCGACAGGGCGACACGGTCACGGAACGAAAAGTGATTGAACATGCCTTTGACGATTGCCTGGCAATCGTCAAAGTTTCCGGTGAGGGCGAGCGCATGGACGTTGTCTTCCGTCGGCGTCGTCATCTGGCGGCGCTGTACGTTGGAAACACGGCCATCGGGGTACAAGACAAATATGTCCGTGCGCTCGCGCCCCCTGAACGCTTCGATAGCTGCACCACCCGTATCACCGGAGGTCGCTCCGACAATTGTCGCACGCAGACCTTTTTGGTCAGAACGTAGTCCATCATGCGCCCGAGCAGCTGCATGGCGACATCCTTGAAGGCAAGGGTCGGGCCGTGAAAAAGTTCAAGAATGAATGTGTTTGCACCGGTCTGCACGAGCGGTGTCACGGCAGGATGTCGGAAACCGGCATAGGCTTCATCGATCATCGCCTTCAGGTCTGTTTCCGGAATTGCACCGCCAACAAACGGCCGGATCACTTCCAACGCAACGTCGGCGTAAGGTTTACCCGCAAAAGAGGCAATCGTATCCGCATCGAACTGAGGCCAGGATTCGGGAAGATAGAGGCCTCCGTCGCGGGCCAGCCCCTGCAGCAGGACATCGGAAAACTCCAAGACCGGTGCTTCGCCACGCGTACTGCTGTATTTCACCCTGCCATTTCCCTCTTCGATCGTTTCAACGGACTTTGTCCGCACCTGCCCTGCAACCAGACCCCCAACCTACTTGAAACCCGGCTGCTTTGAAACAAACCATGCCATCCAGCCGACTTACGCGCCATAACTTTCAAGCGCAAGTCGCTTTTGGGTTAAATGATGACCGTGAGCCGACAAGGTTTTTGCAACGCCACCGCATTGAAATGGTCAGGCGTGTCCGGCGTCGGAATATAGCATTGCCGGATCGATCCCCATTGAACTGAGCGCCCTGCGCCATTTGGCGTCGAAATCCGTATCGAACAGGATTTCCGGATCGGCCGGTGCGGTCAGCCAACCGTTCGCCTGAATTTCGTTCTCCAGCTGTCCGGGAGCCCACCCGGCATATCCAAGTGCCAGAATAGCCTGTTCCGGCCCGTCGCCCTGGGCAAGAGCCCGCAAAATCTCCAGTGTCGCGGTCAGACAAATACCGTTGTCTATCGTCAGTGTTGACTGATTGAGCATGAAATCGTCGCTGTGAAGCACAAAGCCACGCTCGACTTCTACCGGACCACCTTTGTGGACATTCATACCGCGAACGCTGTCCGGCAACCGGATAGCGCTCTCATCATCATTCAGGATATCCAGCTGGATCAGCAATTCCTCGAGGGAAAGATGCCTGGCAACCTGATTGACAACCAGCCCCATGGCACCCTGGTCGGAATGAGAGCACAGGTAGATCACGGAGTGTTCGAACCGACTGTCAGCCATGCTCGGCATTGCAATCAGAAACTGTCCTTCAAGAGAGTCTGTTTCTTCTGCTCCGACCATAAACACCTCGACTGAGTTTGACGCCTGCGTCCGTGCAAAAGCATACCGCCTTTGAACGGCTTTGTTAATGACTGTTTCCCGTGCCGGTCGTCCGTCATTTCACTTTGCCGTAACGTGACCGTCACAAGGAAATGACCGCTGCCGGAGGCTCGGACCCATGACGAGCCGACGAAACTCGTGTAGCACTGAGCACATGAAATACACTGTCCAGATTGCGCTCATGATGCTTTTGTGCGCCTTTTCCCCCGCCCGCGCCGAGATGACTGACTGGGTCGAGGTTCAAGGTGGCGCTGTTCGTCTGATCTCCGCCGGCCCCCTTCAGGACGGACACTACATGGCCGGGCTGGAGTTCCTGTTGGAGCCTGGCTGGCACACCTATTGGCGATATGCCGGTGAGGCCGGAATACCGCCACAGATTTCGGTAACCGCGTCAGACAATATTGAAAATCTCGAAATTCTGTACCCCGTGCCTGAGCGTTATGATGACGGTTTTTCGGAATCGATCGTCTATCACGACGGAATAGTGTTGCCATTCCGGATTACGCCAGCGGTGAAGGATCAGGATGCCAAGCTGGAAGTCGAGGTCTTTTTCGGGATCTGCAAGGATATTTGCGTTCCAGGAGACGCTGTCCTGACACTGGACTTCAATCCGAGTGGCAACAACGATGCATTGTCAAAACGCCTTATCGAGCGGGACCTCACCGCGGTTCCTCGCCAGGAAACCAATAACGGACTGGAAATCAATTCCGTGACACATGACGGCAAGGGCTTTCTCCTTGTCGAGGCCACCGTTGGCGATGATGGTGAAGCCGACCTCTTTGCAGCAGGTCCGGAAGGATCCTTCATCGGCCTTCCGAAACCGCTGGGAAGGAACGGAGACAAGGCGACATGGCGTCTTTCGACGAAAGGCCTGGCGACAACTGCAAGAGACCGCCAGCTCAGGCTTGTGCTGTCTTCGAACGGAACAGGCGTCGAACGCCTGGAGCCTATTTCTGCGGACTGGATCGACTAGGGCGCATCCATTGACCGGATTCGTTCAAGCTTCACTCGACGTTGAACGAACAACGCTCTATCTGTGCAAGCGGACAAGTTCTTCGTTAAGTCATCCAGCAAAGGGATATTCGATATGACAATCAAGGTTGGGGAGCGCCTTCCGGACGCCACTTTCAAGATCATGACCAGCGACGGGCCCGGCGAGATGTCGTTGAAGGACATTGCAGGCGGCAAGACCCTTGTTCTGTTCGGCGTGCCCGGCGCATTCACGCCGACGTGCCACATGAATCATCTTCCCGGTTTCGTCGAGCATGCCGAAACCCTGAAAAACAAGGGTGTCGACACGATTGCGGTCCTGTCCGTCAACGATGTGTTCGTCATGGATGCCTGGGAAAAAGCCTCCAATACGGGTGGTAAAGTCACCTTTTTGGCTGACACCGGTGCGGAATTTGTCGAGGCCATCGGCCTGGGCCTCGGCCCGGCGCCTATTTTCGGTCATCTGCGTTCGCAACGTTTCGCGCTCATCGCCAAGGATGGCGAAGTTACCTTCCTGGCCGTCGAGGAAACTCCGGGCGAAGCAACGAAGACAGGCGCTGCCGCCATACTTGAAGCGCTCGGCTAAGCACTTCCACTGCCCTTGCTACGCGGCCAGAGTATCGTGGCCGCGTAGGTCAGAAACACGCCCAGAAGTGTCGCAGCCAATCCGAACCATGTCAGGGCATACCCAAGATGGTCATTCTTGAACCGGACAATGGTTTCACCGGCCTGCGGCAGCCCGGCTTCGGGCGTAAACGTGACATCCAGATCAATGCTGTATGGCGCAAGGTCTCCGGGATCTAGCCCCAGCATCTCCCCCATCGCCTCCGTATCGCGGGCAAACCATAACCTGTCATTGGCACTCGGTTCGGGAGTGGTCCAGTTCGGTTTCTCGCTCAGCCTCAAAAGACCTGTCAGATTCACTTGCCCGGCGGGAATATTCAAGGCGGCCGCCTTCGCAGGTTCCGCAAGTCCCTGCGGCAGAAATCCCCGATTGACGAGAACCAGCCAGCCTTCCGTCGTTCTGAACGGCGCATAGACCATGACACCGGGACCTTCCGCCAGCCCAACAGGGTTTGAAAGCGCGGTGTAGTAGAAGGTGTTGCCCTCCAGGAATGCACCTGCCAACTTGACACGGCGATAATCGTACTCTTCCCCGAGACCATCCCGCCACAGTGCCGGGCGCGGCGCTTCGACAGGCGACCTCGTGACACCTGATTCGACTTGAGCGATGAGGTTGGTCTTCCACTCAAGCCGGTCGAGCTGCCAAAAGCCGAGGTTCAGAAGAACAACAAGGCCAAGTGCTGCGGCTATTGTGGGGATGAGAAGTTTCTTTAGTCCGCCCATGGGCCGATCATGTCTCTTTGGTTCAAATGTCGTCCGGATTGTCCAGTCGGCCTTCTTCGGCTTTATGCCTGAACTGAAGTGCGATCATCAGCCCTTTTAGCGGGCGTAATACGGCAGCTGCGAGGACGACTGTCAGTGGAAGCCAAAGCAAGAGGTGCAGCCAAATCGGTGGCTGAAAGGACAGCTCAACAAACAGAACCAGTCCGACGACGACAAACCCGACGAGCATGATGACAAAGACCGCAGGGCCGTCGCCGCTGTCGGCGAAGGAATAGTCGAGGCCACAAGCACTGCAGGCCTTCTTGACGCTGAGAAATCCGTTGAAGAGTTTACCCTGGCCGCAACGGGGGCATCTTCCGGATAGTCCGGAGGTCACCGGATTGACCGGCGGAAAATGGGCCTTGTCTTCCATACCTGATGCCTAAGGTTCGAAAATCAAAAACGCCCGGTCTGTCCAGCAAACCGGGCGCTTCTTGATGGAGTGGCTTGCTCACCTAGTGCGCGGCGGGAGTACCTGCGCCCCAGATGTAGATGGCGACGAACAGGAACAGCCAGACGACGTCCACGAAGTGCCAGTACCAGGCGGCGGCCTCGAAGCCGAAGTGTTTTTCCACGGAGAATTGTCCGGCCAGCGCACGCAACAGGCAAACCAGCAGGAAGATTGTTCCCACGATCACATGAAATCCATGGAAGCCGGTCGCCATGAAGAAGGTCGCGCCATAGATGTTGCCGTCGAAGGAGAATGCGGCATGGCCATACTCGTAGGCCTGAACGATCGTGAACAGGACGCCGAGCAGAACGGTCAGCGTCAGGCCCCATTTCACGCCTTCACGGTCGTCGTGCAGAAGAGCGTGGTGCGCCCAGGTAACTGTCGTTCCGGAGCAGAGCAGGATCAACGTGTTCAAGAGCGGCAGGTGCCATGGGTCGAATGTTGCAATTCCGTCCGGCGGCCAGTGACCACCGGTCGCTTCGACGCGGCTGAACTGTATGGCTTCACCGGCAAAAAGCGCCGCATCGAAATATGCCCAGAACCAGGCAACGAAGAACATCACTTCAGAGGCGATGAACAACAGCATGCCATAGCGAAGGTGAAGGGACACAACGCGCGTATGATGCCCCTCGCGCGATTCCCTGATGGTATCGCTCCACCAACCGAACATCACGTAAAGGACCACCAGCAGACCGATGGCAAACAGCCCCCAGCTTGCCGCGGCGAAGTCGATACTGAAAAGCTCGAATGATTCACCGGCTGCGGATTTCATCCATGCGATTGCGCCAATCGCCATGATGAAAGCGCCGACCGACCCGATGAAAGGCCACGGGCTCGGCTCCACCAGGTGGTAGTCGTGGTTATTGGTATGTGCCTCAGCCATCGGCAAGCTCCCCAAACACAGTCATGTCATGCGCAACAAGCGCAATCGCTCACAAGTTCGTTTCAGCAGAAGGCGCCTCAGCCCGTGCTGCAACAGGTTGTTCCGGTTCTTCTACCGGGAAGAAAGTATAGGACAAAGTGATTTCCTTCACGTGTTCCAGCTCAGGATCCTTGTCCATCTCCGGGTCGACGAAGAAGACGACCGGCATTTCGACGGTTTCACCGGATGCAAGTTTCTGCTCGGTAAAACAGAAGCAATCCAGCTTGTTGAAATATGCGCCTGCTGACGGAGGCCACACATTGAAGGTCGAGGTTCCAACAGTCTCCTCGCTACCGGTATTGGTCGCCAGATAAGCAAGTTGCGCGCTCTCGCCCATCTTGAGGGTCACCGACCGTTGTGCCGGCTTGAATTTCCAGGGTAGGGAATGATTGACATTCCCGTCAAAGCGCACGGTGATCATCCGGTTGATGACAATGTCACTGTCACTGGTCGCAACTTGCGGAGTTCCGCCAAAACCGGTCACACGGCAAAAGAGATCGTAAAGGGGAACGGCAGCATAGGAAGCACCCACCATCAGTCCGAATACGCTGACGCACGCAAGGGCGACCCTGCGATTGCTGCTTGCGACCTGATTGTTGTTCTGCTCGTTTCCCACGTACGTTTCCCTAAAGAGCCCGATCCATGATACCCGGTCCCAGCTTGACGATGGTGACCACATAAAAGAGAACCACAAGCGCCAGCAACACAATCGCGATCGCAATCGAGCGAGAACGCCGCTTCTTCTGCTGTTCCGTTGTCAGCCTGATACCCTGTTCTTCTTCCGCCATCATCCTACGCCCCTGCGACCAGACTTTCGCCCAGCAACAGGGCAAACAAAAGAAACAGATAGAAGATGGAAAACTTGAAGAGGTTGACGCAGGCCTTGCGTGCTTCATCGCCTTCGCGCCTGCGCCAGACGTTGGCGGCAAGCGCAAGGAAGGCCAGTCCCAGCACCGCAGAAGCAGCCCCGTAAACAGGGCTCGCAAATCCCAGGAAATACGGAGACATGCCGACGGGTGCAAGGATCAGCGAATAGGCGAGAATATGATGACGTGTGCTGGTTTCACCGGCAACAACCGGCAGCATCGGGACGCCCGCAGCACGATAGTCGCCACTCTTGAACAGGGCCAGCGCCCAGAAATGCGGCGGCGTCCACATGAAGATGATGAGGAAGAGCACAAAACTCTCCAGGCTCACCGAGCCGGTTACCGACGCCCAGCCGACCATTGGAGGAAATGCGCCGGCTGCACCGCCAATGACAATATTCTGCGGCGTGGAGCGTTTCAGCCACATCGTGTATATGACGACGTAGAAGAAAATCGTAAATGCCAGGAACGCACCCGCGAACCAGTTGACCAGCAACCCGAGCGTGACCACGGACCCGATCGCCAATGTCATGCCGAAGGCAAAGGCCTCCTCCCCGGTGATCTTTCCAGCGGGAATCGGACGCTTTTGAGTGCGCGACATGATCTCGTCGATGTCGGCGTCGTACCACATGTTCAGGGCACCCGATGCACCTGCACCGATGGCGATACACAGGATCGCAACGCCGCCCAGTACCGGATGCACGGACCCCGGAGCCAGCATCAGGCCAACAAAGGCCGTGAATATGACGAGAGACATGACGCGCGGTTTCAGCAGCGCCACATAGTCGCTCACCGATCCCATTCCACCGTTCCAGACGGCGCTGTCCTGACTGATCGTATCCTGGCGCTCGACGAGCGACATGGGCGCGTCCTTCAAATTCCGTTGTACTGCATTGGCAGCTTTTCAAAGGAGGCACCGCGCCGGTTGCCGGTGCGGTGCCGATTTCAGGCCGGAGGCCGTGCCTCCGTCCGCGGGCCTATTTGATCCGCGGCAGGGTTTCGAACTGGTGGTGCGGTGGAGGTGAAGACAGTGTCCACTCCAGGGTCGTCGCCCCCTCGCCCCACGGATTGTTGCCAACCGCACGCTTCTTGGAGAAAGCCTCGGCGATACCGAACAGGAACACCAGCACGGCGAAAGCCGAGATATACGATCCGATGGAGGAAACGTAGTTCCAACCGGCCAGAGCGTCCGGATAGTCGGCATATCTGCGCGGCATGCCGTTCATGCCCAAAAAGTGCTGCGGGAAGAACAACAGGTTCACACCGATGAAGGTGATCCAGAAATGGGCCTTGCCGATGGTTTCATTGTACATGTAGCCGAACATCTTCGGGAACCAGTAGTACCAGGCTGCGAAGATCGCGAACACGGCACCAAGCGACAGCACGTAGTGAAAGTGTGCCACAACGTAGTAGGTGTCGTGGAATGCGCGGTCGAGACCGGCATTGGCAAGTTGCACGCCCGTCACGCCACCAACGGTGAACAGGAAGATGAACCCGATCGCCCAGACCATAGGTGTCTTGAACTCGATGGAACCGCCCCACATGGTGGCGATCCAGGAGAAGATCTTCACACCCGTCGGCACCGCAATGACCATCGTGGCCGCGACGAAGTAGGCCTGTGTCTCGGAGGACATGCCAACCGTGTACATGTGGTGCGCCCACACGATGAAGCCGACCACGCCGATGGCAACCATTGCATAGGCCATGCCGAGGTAACCGAAAATCGGCTTGCGGGCGAAGGTGGAAATGATGTGGCTGACGATGCCGAAGCCCGGGAGAATCAGGATGTACACTTCCGGGTGGCCGAAGAACCAGAACAGATGCTGGAACAGGATCGGGTCACCGCCTCCGGCCGGATCAAAGAACGTGGTGCCGAAGTTTCGATCCGTCAGCAGCATCGTGATGGCGCCAGCGAGAACCGGCAGGGACAGCAGCAGAAGGAACGCCGTAATCAGGACGGACCAGGCGAACAGCGGCATCTTGTGCAAGGTCATGCCCGGCGCACGCATGTTGAAGATCGTCGTGATGAAGTTGATCGCACCGAGAATGGACGATGCGCCGGCAATGTGAAGCGACAGGATTGCAAGATCCATTGCAGGTCCGGGCTGGCCGGACGTGGAAAGCGGCGGATAGATCGTCCAGCCACCACCAACGCCATTACCACCCGGAGGGCCTTCAACAAATAGCGACAGCAAGAGAAGAAGGAAAGCCGGTGGCAAGAGCCAGAAGGAAATGTTGTTCATGCGCGGGAACGCCATGTCGGGCGCGCCGATCATGATCGGAACGAAGTAGTTGGCGTATCCGCCAATCATGGCCGGCATCACCATGAAGAAGATCATGATCAGGCCGTGTGCGGTCGTGAACACGTTGAACATATGCGGGTTGCTGAAATACTGCATCCCCGGTTCCATCAGTTCCATCCGCATGCCGACGCTGAGCGCGCCACCCACGATCCCGGCAAAGATCGCGAACATGAGATACAACAACCCGATGTCCTTGTGGTTGGTCGAATAGACCCACCGGCGCCATCCATATGGATGGTCATGTGCCGCATGTGCTTCGCTCGCAGCCATTTGGGGCTCCCTCTTCAAGTACTTTCAGCAGCGCTGCGTGCTATCGCGCGTCGCCGGTCAAATGAAAGCCGCCGCGTTATTTCGCGGCGACAGAGATGTCTTCGAGCTTGCCGGCAGCAAGCTTCTTTTGATCTTTGATGGATGCCATCAGCTGTTCATTGGCAGTGTCCAGGTCTTCCTGCGCCGCTGTTGCCCAGGTCTTGTACTGTTCCTTGGACACCACACGAAGAGCAATCGGCATGAACGCGTGATTGACGCCGCAAAGCTCGGAGCACTGACCGTAGTAGACACCTTCCTCGCGTGCGCGGAACCACGTCTCGTTCAAACGACCCGGGATCGCATCGATCTTGAGACCCATCGAGGGCATTGCGAAGGCGTGGATAACATCTTCTGCCGTGACCTGAAGACGAACGGTGGTATCGACAGGAACGACGAGATCATAGTCGACCGCCAGAAGGCGAGGCACTTCGTTCAGCGACACGCCACGTGCTTCGGCAACAGCCTGACGATCATCATCAGCGATCATGTAGGAATCAAAATAAAGATCGCCCATGCCTTCGTCGGTGTACTCGTATCCCCAGTACCACTGATATCCGATCGCCTTGATCGTCATGTCGTATTCAGGGATATCGAGCTGCTTGTAGAGCAGACGGAACGACGGGATCGCGATAACAACAAGGATCAGGATCGGCACGACCGTCCAGGCCACTTCAATCATCGTGTTGTGCGAGGTGCGGGAGGGCACCGGATTTGCCTTGGAGCTGAACTTCACCATGCAAACGACCAGCAGGGCCAGCACGAACAGCGTGATCACCGTAATGATCACCAGCGTGAACGCGTTGAACCACGTGATGTCGTCCATCATGTCAGACACCGAGGCCTGAAAGCCCAGCTGCCAGTTTGTCATACCGGATTCGGCTGCCAGGGCCGCTGTGGACACTCCAGCAAATGTTGCCGCCGCTCCGGCCAATGTCATGAGACGCTTGAAGACTGCCTTCACGTCCACGCTCCCTTCCCTCAGCCGCCTGTAAGCGGCACCTGCATACATCCTGGACCCACGATCCGGACCAATCCGGTCGGGCAGTAACGGGCTTGGCGCGAGTTCGCAAGCCTGAATCTGCCATAACCGTTCATCGGACAGGATCATCAGATAGCCGGACTATAACCATAAACCCCTATGAAGAGCGATGGTTACAATCGGCCAGAGCGGCGATCTGCCGCATCACCCCGCCGACACCATTGTGCCGCACAAAAACCACAAGAAACGCCGAGCTGCAACGGAATTTCCAACTTTTCACATCCTCAGGATGGCCTTGCCAGATTGACGCACGTCAAGGACACACGGATTTTCGACAAAAATTCGGGCTAATCGACGGCTCGGCCCCCCGGCAGACTGGAATCAACGGCCATTGTGCGGCAATGTCTGGCCGGGATTAAACCATGATTCGCTGAGCGGACTGAAAACCAGTTGATACGCTTTTGCAGAATCGGACAACGATTGACCGGAGGATTTCTTGTCAACTCATACGCAGCAGTCCTTCCAACCACACAGCTCGGGAAAAACCGGGCTATCCATTTTGAAACTGGCCGCCATTGCCGGGCTTTTCCTGGGCACGCTTGTCCATGGAAATCCACCCGCTCAGGCTCAAGGCGAGGTCCGATCCAGCCATGGCGATTGGCAGATGCGCTGCGATACACCTCCTGGTGCTTCCGGCGAGCAATGCGCCCTCATTCAAAATGTCACGGCTTCAGATCGCGAGAATGTCGGCCTTTCCGTGATTGTACTCAAAACCGCCGACAAACAGGCGCGCATCCTGCGCGTTCTTGCGCCGCTGGGTGTCCTGTTGCCCTCCGGTCTGGGATTGCGCGTCGACAATGCGGACATCGGACGAGCCGGGTTCGTGCGCTGCCTGCCGAACGGCTGTATCGCGGAAGTCATTTTGGAAGATGAATTGCTGACGAAACTGAAGGCCGGTGCGCAAGCAACCTTCATCATCTTCCAGACACCCGAGGAAGGTATCGGCATCCCGATTTCGCTGAACGGATTTTCGGAAGGTTTCGACACGCTGCCCTAAGCCGGAAAACCATCCGTTTGTCAGCGCACAAGTGACTGCTTGTGCCGTGGAGGTCCGACGAAGCCCGGACGAGGATCCCTGCGGTCAATCCAGCGGCAAGATTGCAGTTTCAGATCCGACGGGTCCCGGATCTTCGCTTCGCTGCGTCTGAAGCTAAATTCAGTGGAAACAGGAGATTCAACACGCGTAACACGTCGGTTCACGCGGCGGGCACGTCCTGCTGATCCTTCACGACTTCCTTGCGCGGCGTCACCTTGTGCAGGCGGTCCGCACCGGCATACATTCCCTTTTCGAGCTGGACGGCGAGGCGTTCCTCATCCCTGCCGCGCACATCTTCTTCAATCTGGTCGATCCGGTCCAGCGGTGTGCCGAGCGCTTCAAGCGCCGCACGTCCAAATACGACGCTGGACTCGAATGTCTCGCGAATCTGGAAATCCACACCCCGCCTGGTGAGGTCCAGAACATGGGCGCGATCTGTTGCACGGCAGAAGATCAGCGCTTCGGGAAATCCGTCGCGGATCAGGTCGATCGCCTTTGCCATCACCTTGTCGTTTTCGATGCACATCGCAACCAGCGCGGCGTTGCCAGCCCCAGCGGCTGCCAGAACGTCGGCCCGGGTCGCATCGCCATAGTAGACCTTGTAGCCCTGTTTTCGAGCGTAATCGATGCGGTCGGGCCGGTTGTCGATCGCCGTGATTTCAAGGCCTTCAGAGGTCAGTATCTGCGCGACAACCATGCCGAAACGACCGAATCCGATGACAAGAACGGTCGGTGCCGCCTCCTCGAAGGTTTCGATAGAAGGGTTTTCAATGCCCTTGGCCTTGGCTCTTGCGGCAAGCCTGTCGAGCCCCAGACAGGCGAGCGGTGTCAGCAGCATTGTCAGGATGACGATGGCATTCAGCAAGTTGGCCGTCTGGTACGTCAACAGGCTGTTGCTGACGGCTGCAGTGAAGAGAACAAAGGCGAACTCGCCGCCTTGCGGCAGCGTCACCGCAATTCTCATGGCATCCGAATTCGATGAGCCGGTTCCGCGTGACAGTGCCCACAGGAAGACGCCCTTGAGCCCCATGACCACAGTGACGCCGGCGGCGACCACTATCCAGTGCTTGATGACCAGCGACACATCCAGCGACATGCCGACGGCGACGAAAAACAGACCCATGAGCAGCGACCGGAACGGCTCGATATCAGCCTCAAGCGTATGCCTGAAGCTGGATTCGGCCAGAAGTACACCCGCCAGGAATGCCCCCAGAGCCATCGACAGGCCGACGGAATGCATGATCCCGGCACTGCCGAGGGCGACCAGAAGTGCCGCTGTCAACATGACTTCGCGGGCGCGGCTTGCCGCCAGAAACAGGAATATGGGTGATATCAGATATCGGCCCGTCAGGATAACGGCCGCCACGGCTCCGAGAACGATCAGGATTTCGTTCAGGATCTCCCCTGTTGTCGAAGGCCCTTCCCCCGGTGCCAGGATCGCTACCATCGCCAGGAGCGGCACGATGGCAATGTCCTGAAGCAGCAGAATTCCGAAGGCCCGCTGTCCATAAGGCGACGAAAGCTGAGCTCGCTCCTGCAGAATTTGCAGGGCAAACGCCGTTGAGGACAGGGCGAGACCGAAGCCGGCAACAAGTGCGGTTGAAAAAGGCATGCCGACAAATCGGGCGACCGCAAACAGGCTGGCGCCTGTCAGGATGACCTGGGCTGTTCCCAACCCGAAGATATCCCTTTTCATGCGCCAGAGTTTTTGCGGGTCGAGTTCAAGTCCGATCACAAACAGCAGAAGCACGACGCCGAGCTCCGCGACATGCAGAACGTCCTCGCCCGAGCCCAGAAGCTGCAGGCCATGCGGACCAATCGCTGCTCCGGCAGCCAGATAGCCCACAACCGAGCCGAGACCCAACCTCTTGGCAATCGGAACGGCGACGCAGGTCGCTGCCAGGAACACAATCGATTCAGCAAAAAACGGAGGTGCGCCTTCCGCAGCCATCCTATCTCCTCTGCCGTGCGGCTGAAAATTCCCTTGCCCCAGCATGACAGCCAGGGAGTTGATTCCATATTAACAAAAATCAGCTGCATTAACTTTGACAAATCTAAAACAAGACAGGAATTAGTGATCAAAAAACGGTCAATTCTGCCAAAACAAGTTGCGAAATTCTAATCCACGGGCAGATCAGGTAAAAACTCTCGAAGAAATTTATCTGCTCTTGAACGAAATAATCTTGTTCGAAGACGGAACCAAATCATCCTTTTACCAGTATGCCCCTGTACTGGCCGGTCCTTTTTCTCGCCTGGGTCATTTCGATCTTGCACTATCCAAATCCGGTACCGGGCAGATGACAGAAAGACGATCTGATCTGTTGTCAGATCAGTCCGTGCCGCTGCAGGAATGCCAGAAGAGCGCCGTCGGATGTATAAACATGTCCTGTCAGACCAGCCTTCTCCGCACCGGACACGTTTGCCGCATTGTCATCGACAAAGGCGCTTTCTTCAGGCTCGTATCCGTATTTCGCACAGAGGCGACGATAGACGACCGGATCTGGTTTCCGGGCTTTGAATTCGGCGGAAACGTGTGCTTTTTCACCAAATAATTCAATCGCTTCCGGTGCACAGACAGGCAAAGCGGCCTTGAGCATCATGCCGTTGTTCGTCAGAAGCGCCAGATCGGCTCGCTCCTTGAGCCTGCGAACATGCGCCAGAACCAAAGGTCTTGCGCGCATCATCTGTCTGCGTATATCCGCCCAGGTATCGAAATCAATCGGATACCCGAGCAGACGGGCATATTGAGCCAGATAGCCTTCCGCAGTATCAGGAGATCCGGCTTCGGCCACCGCTTCATGAGGTCCACCCCAGACGGCGGCGTCAATCTCGGTCGCGGGCCGACCGGTCAGCTCTTCCAGCAGACGGAGCCTGACCTGGTGATCGTAGTCATAGAGCACCTGATCCATATCGAAAATGACGAACCGGATATCAGGCATCTCAAAATCCGAGTTCCTGATCAGACAGCCGTCCCTCCGACAGTCAACTCGTTGATGCGCATGGAGGGTTGCCCGACACCGACCGGGACACCCTGCCCCTGTTTGCCGCAAGTTCCCATGCCGGGGTCGAGCTTCATGTCATTGCCGATCATGGCAACGCGGGTCAGGGCGTCAGGGCCATTGCCGATCAGCATCGCCCCCTTAACGGGAGCACCGACCTTGCCGTTTTCAACCCGGTAAGCTTCCGTACAGGAAAACACGAACTTTCCGGAGGTGATGTCAACCTGGCCGCCACCGAAGGAAACAGCATAGATACCATCCTTCACCGACTGAAGAATCTCTTCCGGATCCTTGTCTCCGGACATCATCACGGTGTTGGTCATACGCGGCATCGGAATGTGTGCAAAGGATTGCCGACGGCCGTTACCGGTCGGCTCCATGCCCATCAGGCGGGCGTTCTGACGGTCCTGCATATATCCTGTAAGAATACCGTCCTCGATCAGGACGGTGCGACCGGCCGGAGTGCCCTCGTCGTCAACACTCAGGGACCCTCGCCGATCGGGTATCGTGCCATCGTCGACAATCGTGACGCCCGGCGACGCGACCCGCTCACCCATCAGTCCGGCGAAAGCCGAGGTCTTCTTTCTGTTGAAATCGCCCTCAAGGCCGTGACCGACTGCTTCATGGAGCAGTATTCCCGGCCAGCCTGGACCGAGCACAACATCGAAAGACCCTGCCGGGGCGGGCACGGCTTCAAGGTTGACGAGTGCCTGACGAAGGGCTTCGTCAACACCGCCCTGCCAGTTCTCTGCCGTAACAAAACGTTCGAAACCCTCACGGCCACCGCAGCCAAACATTCCGCTTTCCTGGCGTTCGTCATTGCCGGCAACCACGGAGATCGAAAGGCGCACCATCGGACGGACATCGCGAACGAGATGTCCATCAGCACGCAGGATTTCCACGACCTGCCAGGAGCCGGCAAGTGACGCCGTCACCTGGCGGACCCGCGGGTCTTTTGCCCTTGCATAGGCATCGATCTCCTGCAGCAGCTTCACCTTTTCCTCGAAACTCGGTCCTCCCAGCGGATTGGCATCGGTGTAAAGAGACTGATTTGTGCGCGCGGGTGCTGCTGCGTAGCTGCCCGAATACCCCTTCGTCACCGCGCTGACGGCATCCGCCGCACGCTTCAGCGCGGCCTCGGAGATATCGCCTGCATGAGCATAACCGGCTGCTTCGCCGGCAACAGCCCGCAAGCCAAAGCCCTGAGCCGTGTCATAATTGGCCCCTTTCAAGCGTCCGTTGTCGAACACCAGACCTTCCGTCTGACGATATTCGACAAACAATTCGCCATCATCCGCCCCCGCCAACGCCTCCTGCGTGATCCGCTTGGCGGAGTCCAGTCCAAGGCCGGAGGTTTCGATGAGATCTGTCGTTGAAAGGGTCATGTCGTGTCCTGTCTTCGCCCGGGTTTCGAGGCGCGAATCTGCGTGTAGACGCAAACCGGTGATCCTGCTTCCCACAACATAGGTGCATTGCGTCCGTTTTTCACACGAAAAGCAGCAAAATCCGCTTGAGGAAATTTAAACTTGAATTTAAAACTCAGCTTAAATTCGCCGAGCGAGAAGCTGCGGCACAGCCTGGCGCGTCACGCCGCCTAGCCAATTCCCCGAAAACTCGAACCAATCCCGCTGCCAAAGAGCTTGCGGAACAGGGCCCGGTATGTCCACACCAATCAATGTGACCGCAGGCGGCAGCATAACCGCGTTTCATGACATTGCCGCGCTACGCGGCGACGGACTTCACCCCAAGCTGCTGGAGGCATTGGCAAAAACCGGAACTGTTTCAGGTCCGCCCGCCGAAAACACGACGAGTGACAGAAACATCATCCCTGTTGACTTCGCCTCAAGATCAAGCTTGCCGGCTCCGGACCGGAAAGCATCGAAATGAAGTCGATCCTCGTTGCCATGCACCTGGTCGCCTGTCAGCCGGACCTCCTTGTCTGTCAGGACATGTCCGTGAATACCAAACGCTGGTCGGATATTGAAACCTGCCGCCAGGACCGGATTGGTGAAATGTTCCGGCTGAAGCAGGATTTGCCGGAGTGGGCTGTGGTCATGTCGCGCTGCCGCTATCTAATCGGCAGCGATCGTCGTTCCACTCCGGCATTCTAAATAACCGGTTTGTTTATTTGGTTCACGGCTTGCCGGATAGGCGCAAAGTACCGTAAAAGACGGGGAGAAACTGCGAAACAACACGGCAAACCGGCGACAATGAACCGATACGAAAATCCGCGCATTCCAAGCGAAGCCCGCGTCCGGTACCTGGATGGCGACTATCAGGTCGAAACGCCGGGAACATTCGTGCGCTGCGCCGTTACAGGGTCGGCGATCCCTCTGGATGAGCTGAAATACTGGTCGGTCGAGCACCAGGAAGCCTACGTCGATGCCAAGGCATCCATGAAGCGGTATCTGGAAACACGCTAGCGCTTTGCCCTAGCCTTCGAAGGACTTTGCACGCAGTTTCTCGCGGATCAGCGCTTTGAGACGTTCTGCGTCATCGATTTTCATCGACACGTCCAGCACCTGTGACTTCGCGACCAGCCAGCGGAACAGTTCACCTTTCGAAGATGCAAGCCGCACCATGTCTTTCTGCGTTGTCACCAATTGCAGGTCGTCGTTTTCGGCTTCCGTCAACAAGGCTCGTGCTTCTGTTTCCTCATATTTGTGGTGATCGGCAAACTCCCGTGTTTTCCTGACGCTGTACCCAAGGTCTTTCAGCGACTTGAAGAACTTTTGCGGGCGTCCGATACCTGCGAAAGCGAACAGTCCGGTGTCCTTCAGAGCGTCATTCGATTGCGGTTTCAGGTGAGCGTGCAGTATCGGCAAACCCTTGCGCCCTGCCAGGTGAACCACCTCGTCCGCCGCCTCGCCCTCACCGACCAGCACGAGACAGTCGGTCTTGATGATTTGCCTGTCGGCGGGTGCCCGCAACGGTCCCGCGGGCAGGCAATATCCGTTTCCAAGTCCCGTCGTACAGTCGACGAGAACAAGATTCAGATCCTTGGCCAAAGCCGGATTCTGGAATCCGTCGTCCATCAATATGAGATCAATCGGCTGTGTCTCCGCAAGGAGCGCACCCTTCGGACGATCCGACGATATGACCGTCGGTCCATGTGCAGCCAGAAGCAACGCTTCGTCGCCAACGGCTTCCGCGCGGTGCCTTGCCGGGTCCACGAGCAGTGGCCCTTTTTCCCGCCCACCGTATCCTCTCAGCAGAAAGCCGGGCGCAAAGCCCTCGTCCCGCAGTAAACCGGCCAGCGCAATTGCAAAGGGTGTCTTTCCGGTTCCGCCGACAACGAAGTTGCCGATGCAGATTACAGGCAACCGGCTTCTGGCCTTGGGTTTTTTGAAAAGTCTCCTGCCGGACACAAATCCGTAGGCCCAACTGAAGGGCACCAAAAGAGTCGAGGCTGGAGACAGTGACGGCTGCCACCAGAATTCAGGTGATTTGTTCATCCGCCGTCTCCTGGAGCCGCTTTGCGCGATCTCCATTCAAAAGGGGTTGCAGCAACGCCAAGGATTTGTCGAGCGCACCACGTCCTGCCTCGACGAGCGCCCTTGCTGTTTCAATTTGCCGGTGGATCTTTTCGGGGTTACGGAACAACTCGCCGACTTCATTGGCGAGTTCCGACGGATCCTGCACCCGGACAGCAGCGCCATTGCTCCAGAATTCCTTGTAGACCGCGCGGGCATTTGCAACTTTCGGCCCAGTCACCAGAGCGGACCCGCTGAGCGCTGCCTCTACCGGATTGTGCCCGCCGACATCGGCAAAAGACCCACCCAGGAACGTGACAGGCGACAAACGGTAGTACAACCCCATCTCACCAAGCGTATCACCAAGAAAGATCTCGGTTTCCGGTGTGACCGGTTGTTGAGAACTGCGCGACACGAGCGAAAGATCGCGGGCTGCAGCCAGATCAATAACGTCCTGCGCACGCGCCGGATGCCTTGGCACCAGAACAAGCAGCAGATCCGGAAATTCCTGCCGTAGCCTTTTGTAGGCATCGAACACGATTTCATCCTCGCCGGGATGGGTCAGTGCCGCTACCCAGATCCTCCGTTCACCGATTTGCGCCTGCAGAACCGTGATCGCCTCGTCATCGACCGCCGGCTCGGGCGCATCGAACTTCAGGTTTCCCGGAACCTTTACGTCGTGGCAGCCAAGCTTTTCAAATCTTTCGGCATCCGCCGGACTTTGAGCAAGCACCAAGTCCAGGCACCTGAAAATGAACCGGGATGTGTACGGGACACGGGACCAGTTCCGCAAGGACCCGTCGGAAAGCCTGCCATTCAACAAGACAAATGGCACATTGCGGCCACGCATTTCGTCAAACAGGCACGGCCAGATCTCGGATTCGACAACCATCGCAAGGTCGGGTGACCAATGCTCAAGAAACCGGTTGAGTGGAACCGGCGCGTCGTAGGGTACGAACTGGTGAAAGGCACCGTCCGGCAGTCTTTTTTCGGCTAATTCGGAGGCAGTCACAGTCACCGTTGTCAGCAACACCGCGTGACCATCTCCGGTCAACGCGTCAATCAGTGGCAGCACCGACATGGTTTCACCGACGCTTGCGGCATGAACCCATATCAGACTACCTGCCGGACGGGCCAAATCGCTCCTGCCGAAACGTTCTCCCTTTCGGGCGGGAATTTCCTTCGATGAGCGGCTCCTGAGCCCAAAAAGAACATGAAACAAAGGTGAAACGCCTTGCGCAGCGGCCCGATAGAGACTGAGCAAAACTGGGCGCTTCTCAACCATCCGACCTGCCGACCAGTTCATAGGCCCGCCTGGTAACGGCATTCAGTTCGCCTTCCACTTCCCGGCGATAGGTTTCAAGCGCGTCTTCTTCCGCGTCAGAAGGAACCCAGATCAAGTCGCCAACGGCGATACTGCCACGCCCGAACGGCAGATTCACACTTGCCTTGTCCCAACTGTTGAGCTCAATGCTACGGCTCGTTGCGACGGCGACAGGAAGGATTGGGCGGCCCGAATGCTTGGCAAGTTGCACAATTCCCTCGCCGGCCTTGCGAGAAGGCCCTTTCGGTACGTCAGCTGTCATGGCAATGCTGTAGCCGTCCTTCAATGCTCTGACCGCTTCGATAAAACCGCGCATGCCACCGCGCTTCTTGATCTGGCGTGCATTCCGGCCACCGGAGGCCCGGATCAATCCCAGACCGAATTTGCTGGCGGCGATTGCGTTCACCTCCCCGTCGGCCGACCGGGAGATCATGACCTTGGCTGGCCAGTGCCTCGGTTTTGCAAACGGCACCATAAAATGCTGCCCGTGCCACATCGCCACGATGACAGGCAACTCTTTCTCCGTCTCGTCGTGAATACCTTCGGGATCAACGTTGAAACGGTTGGTGTGATAGACCAGCTTCAGGTATCCGGCGAGCGCGGAACCCACGCCTGCAAGTACCCATGGATGGCGGCCAAGGCGTTTGATCATCTTTTGTTATCGCCTGAATGTTTCTGAGTTATGCCGCCGCTTCCGGATCCAGAAGGCGATGCATGTGTACAATGAAGTAACGCATATGCGCGTTGTCGACCGTGGCCTGGGCCTTGGCCTTCCAGGCTTTGCTTGCCTCGGCATAATTTGGATAGATGCCCACAATATCCAGCTCATCCAGATCCCGGAAGGTCAACCCATCCGGCGATTCCAGTTCACCGCCAAAGACCAGGTGCAACAGCTGTTTCGGGGTGTCGGTCTCGCTCATGAGCATCCTCGCTAAGTTTAATACAGGCGCTGGTCATCTACCGGATAATGTCCTCAAGCACCGCACGCACTGGTCCTATAAGCCCGGTCGAAGCCGCGATCAATGCCGGGTGACCGGTCCGACTGCGATTATAGGTCAGATCCCGGCCGGAAACGTCGGTTAACCGCCCGCCAGCCTCCTTCACCAGAAGGTCGGCTGCTGCAAGATCCCAGTCGCTCGGACCACCACGCGCTGTGCCGACATCTATACGCCCCGCAGCAACCATGACGAGCCTGTAGGCCAATGACCTGAGGATCTCGGTTTTCTGAAACCCGGCAGCTAGCACATCCGTATTTGAAATGATCGAATGCGGTCCGGTCAAAGTCGCACCCGAAACACTCGTACGGCCGGAGACCCTGATCCCGGCTTCGTTCAGGAACGCCCCGCCACCCGCACGCGCCGTGAACATTTCGTTCCGCCGCGGACAGAAGACTGCACCGGTCACTGGCCGACCGTCTTCAACCACAGCGATCGATATCGTCCACTCATCGCCGCCGGCCAGGAACGCGCGGGTACCGTCTATCGGGTCAACGATGAAGACACGTCTACATTCCAGACGGGCGCGGTCGTCAGCGGTTTCCTCCGAAAGCCAGCCGTAGTCCGGACGAGCGGTCAGAAGGCGGTCCGCCAGAAACCTGTCCACCGCGATGTCCGCTTCGGAGACAGGTGACTTGTTACCCTTGAACCAGGTCTCCAGACCCTGCCCAAAGTAACCGAGCGCCAGTTCCCCTGCCTGACGAGCCGCTGTTTCCAGCAATTGAAGATCCGCAACGAGGTCACACCCGTCGGCAACCTGATCAGCTTCCGGCAAGCGCCATTCCTTCAATCATCACAGAGGGTGTCGCTGCCGAGTAGCGGTTGTCCAGGTCACTCCCGGGAACCAGCCGCCTGAACATGTCGTTCAAATTGCCAGCAATCGTAATCTCACTGACGGGTTCAACAATTTCACCGTTTTCGAACCAGAATCCGGCAGCCCCGCGGGAATAGTCCCCGGTGATGCCGTTGACCCCGTGGCCAATAAGATCGGAGACCAGCAATCCGCTGCCGGCTTCCGCCATAAGCGTGTCCAACGACAACTCTCCCGGCATCAGGGTTATGTTGGTGGCACCGGGCGACGTGCCGCTTCCGCTTCTGTGCGCGCGTCCATTGGGCTCCAGACCCAGTTCACGAGCGGACGCACCATCAAGAAACCAGTGCTGAAGAATGCCATCCTCGATCATGTGCAAGACGGAGGCAGCCGTTCCCTCACCGTCGAACGGCCGGGTGGCCCCTCCCCTGCGCTTGAACGGGTCGTCGACAATCTGAATTCCGGGTGCGAAGATCGCTTCCCCCATCCGATCCTTGAGAAAACTGGTTTTCCGGGCAATGGAGGCACCATTTATGGCGCCGGTCAGGTGACCGAGAATGCTGCGTGCGGCGCGCGATTCATAAATGACATTGGTCGTGCGCGTGGAAAGCTTTTGCGGATTGAGACGACGGACAGCACGCTCGCCCGCCCTTCTGCCGATTTCAGCGGGTGCATCGAGGTCTTCGAAATACGTCCTGCTGTCAAAGTCATAGTCACGTTCCATACTGGTGCCTTCACCAGCGACCGCCGTCATTGACATGCCATAGCGGGATGTCATGTACGACCCTTCAAATCCATGACTTGTGGCCAGCACGACACCGGCGAGGCGCCAGGATGCTCCGGCGCCACCAGACTTGCTGACCCCGGCAACCTCCAGTCCCGCCGTTTCCGCTTCAAGTGCGATACCGGCGAGCGCATCCGCGGTCATTTCCCTGCTGTCAAGAAGTTCCAGTCCGGGCATGTTCTTTACAAGGAGGTGTTCGTCGGCAAGCCCGGCATAGGGATCTTCAGGCGCAACACGAGCCATCGCCACGGCACGCTCAGCCAAGGTGCCGGGATCATCCAGCTGATTTGCGGAAACGGCCGCTGTCCGCTTGCCAACGAAAACGCGCAAGGTGACGTCGTCGCCTTCGGCACGTTCGGTCTCTTCGACCTTTCCCTCCCTGACATCAACGGCGAGCGAGACGCCTGTCACCGCCACGGCATCGCAGGAATCAGCTCCGGCCTTCCGGGCCGCTTCGACAAGACGCACAGCACGCGACTGCAATTCGCTTTGATCAATCATTTCCGACATTCGTTCCGCCTTGATGGGTCTGCTTCATTCGCCCCGCTTCGGCTGTTGTTTACGCCCAGCGCCCGTGCTCCGCAACAACTTGCGCGCAAACGACCCATCGTGGACAGGGCCAGCATGTTGAACCGCCTTTGAAATTTCCGTTTCGGCCCATTTTGAACACAGGCATGAACAGATCGTTTGCACCGCGCTTACACTCCGGTAACCCTCTTTAAAATCAGAGTTTTTTAACTCTATCTCTTAAGTGGTTCACGACTTTTCTCCGTTACATTCAGCTTCATCAAGAGACCTGAAGGTCCGACGGAGAGTCATTTGAGACGTCAAACAGAACAACAGGCGCCAAAAGCAACCGGGAGCAATGCAGAAACAATACTGCATCCCGGTTGCCTGCCGGTCCGATTTGAACAAAGGCTCGAATGCCGCCCCGGAACACCCTCTCTTCCTGCTGAAATCTATATCGACCGCACAAGGGTCATCATAAAGCGACGCATTGCAGGTGTTCCCGTCAGGGTCATTGTCCCTGCAAACGGTTTCGATGGTGTCATGGTCCGGATCGTTCCGGGTGCCGCGCCCGGTAACATAACGGCTGCGCTGATCCTGAAACATCCCGACAGCGCATTATCAATCACCCTCGCAGAGACGGAAAACTCCGACGAACTGGCCGTGCTTTGGAGCCGATGGGCCCAAACGCTGAAACTGCCCATGCTCGTATGCGATCTTGGCGGTGAAGTTAAACCGATAGACGCATTCTGCGCGACACCCGCCGCAAATCCGGCTCCTCGACGCAAGCTGCGTCTGTTGACCGGCCGCCGTCCCCGTTTTCTGAACAGACGCATACCTGGAACGGTGACCGCTGCCCCCGCAGTTTTCGCACATGAGCGGGAAATCATCGCAAGAACCTGAAGCCCAGCCGACTTCCCGCCACCGGAAGGCACTTCCTGGTCTCTCAAAGACCCACGCCGACCAGCGCATCGGCGACAAATCCGGCGAACAGGATCCAGCCATAGGTTCCGTTGGAACGAAAGAGCTTCAGGCACTGGTCGCCATCGTCGATGTCGAGCACGATCACTTGCCATCCCAGATGAACCACGCCTGCCAGGATGCCTGCAAATGCCAACGGACCGGCGTCGGCAAATGCAGCTGCCAACGAAAAGAGCACCGTCGCACATCCATAAAGGGCAATCAGGGCCGGCTTCGTGCGATTCCCGAATAGGCGTGCCGTCGACCTGACACCGACAAGTGCATCGTCGTCCTTGTCCTGATGCGCGTAAATCGTGTCATAGCCGATCGTCCAGCATATGCCTCCAAAATACAAAAGGACGGGCGCTGGCGACAACGACCCGAAAACCGCGGCCCAACCCATGAGGGCTCCCCAGGAAAATGCAAATCCGAGGAACAGCTGCGGCCAGTTCGTAACGCGCTTCATGAATGGATAGATCGCGACCGGCAGCAGTGAGGCAAGGCCGAGAACTATCGAGAATGTGTTGAACTGCAACAAAACCAGCAACCCGATCAACGCTTGCACGATCAGGAAAATCCTGGCCTGGTTCTTGGTCACCTGACCTGCCGGTATCGGCCGGGACCGCGTCCGCTCGACCCTGGCATCAATGTCAACATCCAAAAGGTCGTTGTAGGTACATCCGGCGCCGCGCATTGCCACGGCTCCAACGAAGAACAGAACGAGATGCCAGGGGTTGGGCCACCCGTTGCCGGCTGCGATTGCGGCAAGCGCAGCTGACCACCAGCAAGGCCAAAGGAGCAACCACCATCCGATAGGCCGTTCCCACCTTGCTAGACGGGCATAAGGACGTAACCCGGCGGGCAAACGTGTATCGACCCAATGTTGCTTCACCGCGTCAGCGACCGGTCCCGTGTCCTTGGTGGAAAATAACATTCGCTGCCCTCTTCGAGTTCCGGACTTCTACCAAATTCGCGACGAAATACATCCTGCAATTGCCCCGGGATATCGGACAACAAGCCCGTCCCGATGATGAGCGATGATCTGCCTTCTCCGTCTCCGCGTCCATATGACGGTTCGCCGCTCCCAGCAGGCTCTTTGTCTTCAACGACGGAAGGACGGTCTCACCTGCACTTGTTTGCCGGATTTGCAGGGACAGACCTGCCATGATAGACCGCGCAACTGCAACGCTGGCGTACCCGAATCCGCGTCAGCGAGACGGATCGTTCTCGAAAGATCGGCGATACATGAAACTGCTGCTTATCGGGTCCGGCGGGCGTGAGCACGCCCTTGCCTGGGCTTTGGCGAAATCCCCGAAACTGACCAAGCTTTACGCCGCTCCCGGAAATGCCGGGATCGCCGAAATCGCCGATCTGACCGACCTGAATGTTTCCGATCATGATGCCGTGATCGGGTTCTGTCGCGCAAAACAGATCGATCTCGTGGTTGTTGGTCCTGAAGCACCGCTTGTTGCCGGGATTGTCGACGACCTTGAAGCAGCCGGCATCAAGGCATTCGGACCAAGCCGAGCCGCCGCACAGCTGGAGGGATCCAAGGCATTCACAAAGGGTGTGTGTGACGACGCGGCAATTCCGACAGCCGGATATGGGCGTTTTGCCGATTGCGACGCCGCACTTTCCTACGTCCGCGACCAGGGAGCACCCATCGTCGTCAAGGCCGATGGTCTTGCGGCCGGAAAGGGTGTCGTGGTCGCCATGACCCTTGGTGAAGCGGAAGACGCGGTCAAGGCCTGCTTCGAAGGTTCGTTCGGGGATGCCGGTGCCGAAGTGGTCATAGAAGAGTTCCTGCAAGGTGAAGAAGCCAGCTTCTTCGTGCTTTCCGACGGTACCCATGCCCTCCCCCTGGCAACCGCCCAGGATCACAAGCGCGCCTATGACGGCGACGAAGGACCCAATACCGGCGGAATGGGGGCTTACTCACCGGCACCCGTCCTGACAGGCGACCTGGTCACGCGGGTCATGGATCAAATTGTCAATCCGACGATCAAAACCCTGGCGGACCGCGGAACCCCTTTCAAAGGCGTTCTCTATGCCGGCCTGATGATCACCGCGGCTGGTCCGAAGCTGATTGAATACAACACCCGTTTCGGCGATCCGGAGTGTCAGGTCTTGATGCTGCGTCTCAAGAGCGACCTTCTGGAACTCATGCAGCGCAGCGTTGAAGGAACATTGGCAACTGCAAACGCCGACTGGAGCCATGAGAGTGCACTTACCGTCGTCATGGCCGCAAACGGATATCCGGCAGCATACGAAAAGGGCACCGAAATTCGTGGCCTCGAAAAGATAGGATCCGAGACGCTCGAAGTGTTTCATGCCGGCACCAAACGCGAGGATGAACGATTGCTGGCAAATGGAGGCCGGGTGCTGAATGTGACCGCGCTCGGTGATACGGTTCGCGACGCAAAAGCCCGCGCCTACGCGGCAGTCGGGCAGATAGACTGGCCGGAAGGCTTTTGCCGTAACGACATCGGCTGGCGCGCTGTTGAGCGCGAGGTAGCCGAAGGTACCGGAGACGAATAAAATTCCGGATACCCTTGCGGACTGAAGTGAGCAACAACAAGCCTGAAAAATCGTCTTGGCAGCATGTTCTGGTAGCCGATACTGTTTTGGTGTTCGTGGCCCGGGGAGAGCGTCTTGAAGAGTGATTTGCCCGATCTGTTTCCCGGATTCGAAACCAGATTCGTCGAAGCGAACGGGATATCCCTGTTTTGCCGGATCGGCGGGACCGGCCCTCCTCTCCTGCTACTGCACGGCTACCCCCAATCACATGTCATCTGGCATGAAATCGTATCAATCCTGTCGGCACATTTCACCCTTGTGATGCCTGATCTTCCCGGCTACGGAATGTCCTCCATTCCCCCGGTTTCCGGCAATCACGAGGCGTATTCAAAGCGGTCAATGGCGTCCGTCATGCGCGAAATGATGCGTGTGCTGGGGTACCGGACGTTTTTCGCAGCGGGACATGACCGGGGTGGCCGTGTTGGATACAGACTGGCCCTGGACCATCCGGATACGATCCCAAGGCTGGCCGTGCTCGATATCCTTCCCACGTCGGACTATTGGGACCGGATGAACCGCGTCTTCGGTCTTAAAGTCTATCACTGGATGTTCCTCGCCCAGCCATTTCCATTCCCGGAGAAAATGATAGCCGCTGCACCAGTCCGATATCTGGAACACACATTGGCGAGCTGGACAGCGGAAAAAAACCTCGACTGTTTTGCGGAAGGGGCCCTGGAACATACCCGTGCCTGGTTCTGCGAGCCCGACCGGATCTCCGCATGCTGCGAAGACTATCGAGCAGGCGCGACAATCGACTATGAGCACGACATTGCCGACCGGAACGCCGGCAACATCATACGGGCGAAAATGCTGGCCCTTTGGGGCGACAAAGGCATTGCAACAAGCGTCGACGACCCTCTGGCGGTATGGCAGGCCTGGTGTCCACATGTCGAAGGACACTCCCTTGCCGCGGGCCACTTTCTGCCAGAGGAAGCACCAAAGGCCACTGGCGAGACCCTGCTCGACTTTTTCAGCTCCTGATTGAATAAAACTTGAATAAAATTTGAGCGATAAACTTCAATTCATCAGTACTGCCTGTAAAAAAAGTTGAAAAACCTGACTTTTTCAAAGTTGCGTGAATTGTCGCTTAATAGCGCTTAAGAATTCCATTCAAACCAATTTAACTATTCTAGTCTATTGAGAGAATGGGCAGAGAACGCTTGGAAAAAACGGCGCTTCATACTTGCGGCGACGAGACCCCGGCATCCTGGCCAATCAGTTAGCAGCTGCGGCTGCCGGGGGTATTTGTGCTGAGTATGGGCAAACAAGTGGCTGGGGAACAGGAGAAGCTGCGGGGACACGCGCCTCGTCAGGACCGGTTCAACGGTTTTCTGGACCGCCTCGTTGATCAGCTTTGTCCGGATGACCTGCATTTCGAAAAGCCATTACGCATCGTTTTCCTGTCCTTTCTGGCTTTGACCGTATGTGTTCTTACTGTTCAGAACATCGTTTCCGAATACCGGAATTTGCGTGAACCCCAGGAAGCGCTCGTCAACACCGCTGAACGCCTGCTGATGAAGCAAAAGAAGGTCGGCTCCGAAACGCTTGACGAAATCGTCGGTGCGCTTGGTGCGAATGAAGATCTTCTGAACGCGATCCGCAACAATGACCATCGACAGATCAAACAGGTTGCAGATGCACTGTTTGCCGTGAAATTTGACAATCTCAACGTGGTGGAACTTGCGATCTATTCCGCCAACCGGAACCTGATTTACCCGGTCAATGGCACGGCACCCGTCCGCGTTCCCGGCGCTGTCTTCAAGTCCGACCTGAATTCAACCGCCCCTGGCCGGAGCGACGGCATCGAATTCGGCCCGAACAACCAGTTCGTTGTCAGTGTCTTTCGTCCGTGGATATCCGACGGTCAATTGCTGGGATACCTGAAGCTGGCAATCGACATCGAACGCTCCCTGGCACTTGCAAGTGCTGCGGTGGACGCTCAGATCGTGAAATTGTGCGAATTGCCCGCGGCCAACGGAGACCCTGCCGGTTCGACCCGTTACAAGATCCTTGGAAACCTTGCTCCATCGGGGTTTGATCTGGGCGTTTTTTCTGCCGGCGACCAAGACCTTGCCCGGATACATCCATTGTATCTTCAGGACGGCAAGGTCTTCATGGTTCGCGACCTGCCTATCGCGGTCACACAGAACGATCACGCATTCAAGCTGCTGCTGGTCAAAGACATTACCGACAACGTCTGGGCATTCTTGAACGGTATTGTCATTTCCCTGCTTGCCGGTATCGGCCTTTCTTTCATTGCTTGGGCCGTCATCCATCGCCTTCTTTCACGCTTGCAATCGTCTGTTCAAAAAACCCGCGCACGGCTCGAAGCAGAAGTCAGGGACTACACTGAGAAGCTGGAAAGCAATGCGTCAAAACTTATCGAAGCTCAACGTATTGCCACAGTTGGAAGCTGGGAAAGGGATGTTGCCACGAACGAGGTCAGCGCGACGGAAGAATATTATCGGATCATGAACCTTCCAGCTGGTCTTTCCTCGAAGAAGATCATCGAAAGAGTATACGCCCAAATACCTGAAAACGAGGCGCAGGCGGCCAAACTGATGGTCAGGCGTGCGATCGAGACCTGCGGCGAATTTGATTTCGAACACTCGCTGGTGCCAGAGAACGGTTCTCCACGCTACCTCCACATCCGCGGCTATGTGCTTTCCGGCCGGGACGGAACGGCGACCAAAGTCGTGGGAACCGTGCATGACATAACCGAACGCACACGGGCGGACCGCAAAAACAATCTGCTGGCCAATATTCTGGAATCTTCGCTCAATGAAATTTACATTCTCGACGCCAAGACCTTCCGCTTTGAACATGCCAACAAATGTGCCCTGAACAACCTCGGCTACAAGCTCGACGAACTTAAGTCGCTGCAGATCTGGGACATAAATCCCATTTATGATCGGGATACGATCGAGCGGCAGACCAGGCCTCTACAGAACGGTGACATTGAGGGCGTGGCCGCGGAATGTCTGCACAAGCGCGTCGATGGTTCCGAGTATCCGGTAGATCTGCGCGTACAATTGCACCAGGACAAGGACCACGATCTTTTCGTCATCATTGCAAATGATGTCACCGAAAGGGTCCTGCGGGAGACTGAAACCCGTGAGGCCAGAGTACGGGCCGAGCGATTGGCCTATTTCGATCCACTCACCAAACTGTCCAATCGGGCTGGATGTCAGCGTGATGCGAAACAGCGCTTCGGCCACGACACCAAACCAGCATTCCTGGTGCATGTCGACATGGACAATTTCAAGCGCGTGAACGATACGCTCGGGCATCTTGCCGGCGATTATTGCCTTGAAGAAACCGGCCGCAGATTGCGTGAAGTCTCGCGCGGGCTAGGCACGCCCTATCGATGGGGCGGTGATGAGTTCGTCATTATTGCCGAAGCGAGCGACTCCGATCCGAACGAACTTTGCGAGCGCGCACGTCGACTCATGCGCATGCCGATGGAGTTCAAGGGCAATCGGTTCTGGCCAACCGTCAGCATGGGCATTTCGCTGTGTCCAGAGGACGGATCGAACTTTGAAGACCTGCTTTTCAATGCCGACCTTGCGCTCTACCAGTCGAAGGAAAACGGCAAGGATCGGCTCACGTTCTTCCGGACCAGCATGAAGACCGAAAGCGAAACGGAAGCCAGGATCGAGCGGGAACTTCAGGACGCAGTCAAGAACAACCAGTTTTTCATGGTGTTCCAGCCGCAGGTCAATCTGCGCTCGCAAACGATAACCGGTATCGAGGCCCTGATCCGGTGGGACCATCCGGACCGAGGTGTTCTGTCGCCCGGTGGCTTCCTGCCTGTCGTCGAAAAAACGAGCCTTGCGCCGGTACTGGGCGAAGTCGTCATCGACCGGGCCATGGCGGCGGCAAAGTACTGGCTCGACACGGGACTCGACTTTGGACGGGTCTCAATAAACGTGTCGCCTGCACACCTGGCGTCCGGTCTGCTTGTCGACCATTTCAAGGCCGCGATGGCGAAATATCAGGTCCCGCCTGACCGCGTTACCGCCGAAGTGCTGGAATCGGTCTTTCTGAGCGATAATCGTTCAGGCCATCTGGCTGCGCTGCGGGAATTATACGAACTTGGTGTTCACATTGAACTTGATGATTTCGGTACAGGTTATGCCTCGCTCACCCATGTGGCCGACCTGCCCATAAACGGTTTGAAAATCGACCGGTCCTTCACGAACCAAATGATTGACGACCCCAGAAAGGAAGCAGTGGTCAATCAGCTTATCCACCTCGCCCGATCGCTCAACATAAACATTGTCTGCGAAGGCGTGGAAACAGAAGCGCAGTATGACCGCCTGCGCATGATGGGCGATTTTTCCATCCAGGGCTTCCTGATTGCCGAACCAATGCCCCTAGATCAGATGACCGAATGGATGAGCGAAGCGTCCGACGATCTCTATTTCGTCATTTGACCGGGCGGCCGGCAGCTCGACAATTTGCGCGTTGACAGCACTCTTTCGCAGCGGATCGGTCCAGCCGAAGCTTGGAAAGACACAGTCCGGCACCCATCTGTCCCAAGGCACATTGATATGAAGGGCAATTCAGATGGCCTCAACACCCTTACCCGCCGGGACCCAACCACGCATAGGTCTGGCCCTTGGCAGTGGTGGCGCACGTGGCCTTGCCCACATTCCGGTTCTGGAAGCACTCGATGACCTGGGTTTGAGACCGGTCCAGATCGCGGGCACCTCGATCGGAGCAATCCTTGGCGCTGCTTATGCAAGCGGGCACAGCGGGCAGGATATCCGGCAGATTGTTCTCGACATTTTCGCCGACAGAAACACTGTCCTGTCCAAGGTCTGGCAATTGAGGCCGCGGCGGTTCGGCGACATGTTCCGGCCCGGACCGGTTCAGTTCGACCCCGAGCGTGTCCTTGAGGTCTTCGTTTCTGAATATCTGCCTGAAAATTTCGAAGATCTGCAGATACCGCTACGCCTGCTTGCAACGGATTTCTTCGGCGTCGAGGAGATCGACTTCGAAAAAGGACCACTCCTTCCGGCGGTTGCCGCGTCAATCGCAATTCCGGCGCTGTTTCGTCCTGTGAAGCACGGAGACCGGTTCCTGATCGACGGCGGTGTCGTCAACCCTCTCCCATTCGAAGGCATGCGCTCGAACTGCGACATTGTCATCGCTGTCGACGTCGTCGGAGCACCGGTCCCGCGGCCTGAAAAGTCCGATATCAACATGCTGGACTCGCTGTTCGGGTCTGCGCAAATCCTCATGCAGACCATCACCAACCAGAAACTCAAAATGGAACAGCCGGATATTCTGGTTCGCCCTCCACATGACACAACTCGCGTCCTCGATTTCATGAAAGCGGATCGGATCCTGGACAGGGCGGAACACTTGCGGGCAACGACCCGAGAACAATTGGCCAAATTGATAAAAGAGACAATGAAAGTAACCTGAATGTCACATAAGTAAATTTCACCAGACAACTGGATTTTATTGCAAAATATTTTCAAATTAATTGTTGTTTAACGATTTAATGAGATCTTATTCTTGAATAAATAGGGGCAAAACAATGCAACATACGCGGTCAATAGATCTGGAGGACTGCCCAGTTCCAGAGGATCTACTCAAACGCCTGCTCGACGCGACACTGAATGCAATCTCGGATGTCGGATCCCAGTTGACAGAGCCCCAGCGCGCCGCTCTCGCGGTATACTGTTACCGGCGCTCTCACCTGCGTCAACTCGGCTTGTCGCTGGCAGCCCTTTGCAACCGGGCCGCATTGATGATGGAAGCCGGTCATGCCGGTGAACTCATTCACATGCAGGCACAGGCAAACACCAATAGCGATGTTGACGCCGACCGACGCCCGAGGGGCGGTAAGGCACCCGTCAGCCTCTACGTTGTTTGACAGTTCATTCGGGGCGGGTACTTCCTCCCTCCTGCCCCCACCTGCGGCAACCGCCTCCGTATAAGTGATACGCAGGCCGGTTGCCCTTTTCTTTCCAAAAGCCTTGCCGAGTTGCTCCTGAAACCGGATTTGAACATGTTCTTGGCTATTCCTGCTTGCCAGTGACGATCTGACCGCTACTCTTTAGGGAACTGATAGAAACCGGGACCAGACACATGGCTTCAGGCGTTTCCGTTCTCAAACTGTCCCGGTACCGGGAAATCAATCCTGGCCGCGTCATTGCGGTTCTTCTGGGCATATTCCTCTCGTTTGTGGCCCAACCGGCTTTTGCGATTTGTCAGCTGATCGCAAACGGTCCTTATCTTCAGCCCCAGGCCGATGCCGTCCGCGTCTGGCAAGCCTCGCTTCAGGCCGGAGAAGTTCAAATCCGTTACATCGGCCACTCGACGTTTGAACTCGAAACACCAGGTGGCGTGCGCATCGCGACCGACTACAACGACAGTGTCCGGCCCTTTCTCCCGCCCACGGTCGCGACGATGAACGGGGCTCATACGACCCACTACTCGCTAGCACCCGACCCGAGTATCGAACATCTGCTCTACGGATGGAATCGCGAAGGTGGTCCAATGGACCACGACCTGACGGTTGAAGATGTCCGCATCCGGAACATCCAGACAAACATTCGCGGCTGGGACGGGGAAACCCGCAGGCTCGGCAATTCCATCTTCATCTTCGAAATTGCCGATTTGTGTATTGCGCATCTGGGACACCTGCATCACAGGCTGACAAAGGACGACCTCGCCAGACTTGGTCAGATCGATGTCGTATTTGCGGCGATCGACAATTCCTCGACGCTCCGCCTGGACAGCCTGATGGATGTCTTGGCAGGCATCGGCCCGACCATGGTCATCCCGATGCACTTTCACTTTGCAGGTGCACTTCCGGCCTTCATGGGAAGGGCAACGGAAGCCGGCTACCGGATCGTCAGGGCAGAAACGCCGAAACTCGTGATCAGCCGATCCTCTCTGCCTGTGAACCCGACCGTCTACATCATGATGCCCGGAGGAACCTGACACCCGTTGCAGGGTCAATCAGCAAACTGGTAGTGGAGAAATATTACCTGGCTGTCTCCGGTCAGCCGCCTGTCGATTTCTGAAAAACAATCGGGAACATCAGGCTCAACGCCAGCACGTTCTTCCAGAACGCAGATCGCTTCCGGCTTCAGCCATCCACCCTTCACGGCAGAACCCAGTGCCGCTTCCCCCAGTGCCTTCCCGTAAGGCGGGTCGGCAAAAACAAGATCGAACGGCTCGATTGTTCCGGCGTCACCGAGGCGGGTCGCATCACGGCGAAATATCTTGGCCACACCGTTCAGGCCGAAATTTTCCATGTTTCGCCGGATAACACCTCGCGCCTCCGCGCCCTCCTCTATGAAGGTGCAGTGGCGGGCACCTCGGCTCAGTGCCTCAAGGCCGAGAGCACCGGTGCCTGCGAAAAGATCAAGAACCCGAGCGTCCTCGACGTCGACGGCAACACCATGAGCAAGAATATTGAAGATGGTCTCACGCAGCCGATCGCTCGTCGGCCGTGTCATCTGGGATTTTGGCGCGGCAATCGCTTTTCCCTTGAAACGCCCGGAAACAATTCTCAAGAACGACCGCCTCCGCGCGGACGACCACCGCCTTTTGGTGGTCGGCTACCATCCTTATTGTCTTGATCCGCCCTGCTTTGCTGTGCCTTGTCCTCCAGCAAGCCGTCTTCGCTCCATATACGGCGTTGCGGTGACCGGCGCTGTTCGCCAAATTCCTTTCGCGGCTTCGGTTCGGACGTCATGCGAAACTTGGATCTCGGTGAGACCTTTTCCTGCCGGGGACCAGCGCCGCCACGCTTGGCCTGCTTTCGATCCTGCCGGTCGTTCTTTGCGGTTTTGCGTTTGTCGGTCTCGGACTTGCCTTCCCGCGCAGTCAGCCATTTGCCCTGATTGCCACCCCGATCACCGGTTTTGCGGCCGGAGCCGGATTCGGAGCTGCGGCGGCTGGCTGGGCTCTTTTTCGGAGTATCCTGTTTAGGCTGATGAAAAATCGGCGCATCAAAGTCGGCACCAGCTTCATTTGCGAGTGCCTCACCAAGCTGGTCGCGCAGGATCCTGCCCCGGATTTCACGGACATCGTTGTCCGGCAGGTCCATCAGTTGGAATGGCCCATAGGAAATCCGGATGAGCCGGTTCACCGTAAGACCCAGATGCTCGAGGACCCGCTTGACTTCCCTGTTCTTGCCTTCGCGCAAACCGACCGTAAGCCAGATATTGCCACCCTGTTCCTTGTCGAGGGTTGCCTCGATGGCGCCGTAGAGAACTCCCTCTACCGCAATGCCGTCCTGCAACGCGTCAAGATCTGCCTGGGTGATCTTGCCGAAAGCACGGACACGGTACCGCCGCAGCCATCCCGTCGACGGCAGTTCAAGAACGCGTGCAAGGCCGCCGTCGTTTGTCAGCAACAGCAGTCCCTCGGTATTGATATCAAGCCTGCCGACAGTCAGGACACGGGGCAATTCCTTCGGCAACCTTTCGAACACCGTCGGACGGCCTTCCGGATCCTTGTTGGTCGTCACCAGTCCGCGCGGCTTGTGATAGAGCCACAGACGCGTCCGCTCGCGCATTGGCAATGGCTCTCCGTCGACGAGAACCTTGTCGTTCGCCGAAACGGTGATGGCAGGCGTGGCCAGCACCTTGCCGTTCAGCTGGACACGCCCCGCCTCGATCCAGGTCTCCGCTTCCCGGCGCGAACACAACCCTGCGCGGGCCATGACCTTCGCGATGCGTTCGCCGCGCTCCAGAGTATAGTCGGAGACCACGTTGGCCGGCTCGGCATCCGGCCTTTTCCTGGCGGGAGCCCTGGAGGGCTTTTTGCCCTGCACGCTTTTTCCGCGCCCTCGGCCTGATTGCGGTTCGGGGCGCTTTTGAGAAGGTTTTCTTGTCGTCATGGATGCGTCATAGCAGAGCTGGACCGTTTCGGAAATCGCCAGTTGACGTCCAATTCTGCAATGGAGCCCTTTTCCTGGTGCATGGCACGTGCGAAACAACTTGCGCACAGGACCCTTGAGGGGATCCGTGCGGACGACTTGAAGACCTATCCGGCGAACCTGAAATATCCTCGACACATGACCACAACCAGCATCAAGACCGAGAAAAACTCTTTCATGAACATCGCCCTTGAGGAAGCAGAAGCCGCTGCTGCAAGAGGGGAAGTTCCGGTAGGTGCCGTTCTGGTCAGGAACGGCACCATCCTGGCCCGCAACGGCAACCGGACGCTGGAGCTGCACGACCCGTCAGCGCATGCAGAGCTTCTCGTCATCCGGACCGCGTGCACGCTGCTGGAATCTCAACGCCTGACTGGCTGCGATCTCTATGTCACTCTGGAGCCATGTCCGATGTGCGCCGGGGCGATATCCTTTGCCCGGATCAGACGACTCTATTACGGAGCCGGTGACGAAAAGGGCGGCGCGGTAGATCACGGAACGCGATTCTTCTGTCAGCCGACCTGCCACCAC